TCTTTGAGAGAGGGCCAATCTTCCCTTGCAACTTTAAGCCACAAAAACATTACTCTGGTGCGCTTCTGCAAACAGCAGTCTCCCCAAAAGCTTTCCGCGCCGGAAGATGATGAGCATTGCAGGCCAGGAGGCCTTGTGAAAACTAGAAGTCTGTCTCAGAAAGCGGAGGATATTCCCTACAGTGTCTTGACAGAAGTGGTAGACAGCACTGACAGACAGGTCAGTTTAATAAGATAGAGGGGATGCGAACTAAAACTTTTGGATGGGTGGGGAGTTTTTGTGAGAAATTAAAGCTCCAGTCCTATGTCCACTTAGCTGGAAGTAAATTGGAGACTACATCATTAGTTACCATAATCCTTTTTCTTTGTCCGCCAGGAAGTAAAATGTACCCCTTTTTGAAAGCAAAGTACCTAAAGAGGTAAATAATCTCCATCCATCAATGGTTTATAAATTGTTTGCTTTAGTAGCTACCGTTGGACATCAATTTGTGGGCAGCATAATAGTTGAAAATAATAGTAATTGCTTGGAAAGGGAAACTATCATAATTATAGATAAGCTGCTTATTGAAAACCGATTCTAGCAATAGTTCTTAACAGGCTGCAGACATTTCAGCAATTCCTGTTTTTCAATAGATTTATAGCCCAATTAATGATGTGACTTGAGTACTTTGGGTCATACTTTAAATAGAGGTCCTTTTTTAGTTTTGTATATCTCAAGTGTAGATGTTTTCTGTGATTTGTGACAGAGAAACTCAACTTGAAGCAATCTTAAATTTAAATGATACCACTGAGTTTGTAAAAAGATCATTTGCCAAAGAAAGTTAGTTTCCTGCAGGTTGATTTATAACACACATGTGCCATTGAGATAAGGCGTAAAAGCTTTTGTCGTGCCACAGATAGTTATTTCACATATTCTGTAAGGGCTTACTACCAGATAAGTGAGGTTAGGATTGTAGCCTTAGTTCAGAGTAAACATACGATTGTGCTTTGTTCACACTTAAGTAGTACAGTATCTGGATTATGTTGTTGAAACCTAGCTTTTTGGATGTGCTGTTTTCAAAATTGTATGATGAACAAGAACCATCCTACATATGTTGAAGGCTGACATGCATCGAGTCAGATTTACCAACATGTGGCATGCAAATTCTTGCTGTGCTGTATTAAGTTTGCAGTCCTAGCCACACTGACCTTGGAGTAAGCCCCATTGAATTCAGTAGAACCTACTTCTGAGCAGATATGGTTAGGATTGTGCTAGAAGCTGTTTAATATACCCTGTAAACCTTTTGAGCTTTTGATAGCTCAACGCATACAATTCGTGTTAACAGGCTCAGTCCAGTTTCCCTATAGAAAAATAGCAGAGTTCAGAGACAGAGGTTGCATTCACATCTCATGGTAAGCTGTAAACCAGGGGTAGCCAACACCCTAGAGACAGTATTAAAAGCTGGCAGTGATCTACTCCACGTTTTTTAGGGGAGTTGAGCTTTTTTAGGGAGGAGGAAAGCCCTGATTTCTGAGAATTCAAGCCTAATCTCAAGCGAAAAAGAGGAACAGCCACTTGCCAACAGATCGTTGGGGAAACCTCAGCCTCACTGAACAAACTGTCGTCCGTTCTGCGAATTGTGAGGGCAGGGCGAGGGGGCGCTAAGGTATTTTACCAACGTTAAGGAAAGGGACCCAGCTATCGACCGCAACCTACCAAAGCCTCCTGGGTCTGCCAGTAGATTCCGATCGACCTGTTGGACATCCCTTCTATAAACCATGCACTTTACTACTCCTTGTTTGTGCTGGGGATAAACAAACCACCACCCCTAGCTTAGTGCTTCGTCTGCATCAGTGGTCTGTTTCGCTCAAGCCATATTTAGTAAGCCAGAAACAAACCACTTCTCTTTGGAGTGCAAAAACCACAAACCCTGGTTTGGGCTTAATCCTAGTAATTGTGGTTTGTTTGGTCAGCCATCTTACATCGCTGTGTGGATGCAGCCAGACAATGAAAACAGACAAAGTTGATAGCAGGGTGGTGGCAAACTAGAAGTGAAGAGGATTAACAGAAACTACTTTCTAACAAGACACAACACACAACACGGTGCATTTTTGTGCAACTGGGCAGACAGAGGTTGCAAATGGCAGACAGAGGTTGCAAATAGGGGCAATGTATGGGGTGGTGTCTACTAGTTACTGACATTTTCTCCAAGGCATGAGGAAATCATCTATGCTTAGGAGCAAAAGAGAATTTGTGGGGAAAGAGGTTACTACCCAACTTCTCTCAGGCAAGGTCTGGATATAAGAGTTTTCTGATTCAACTTGTTAAGCGGTGACTGTGTTTCTCTTAAAACTGTGTTTGTAATGTGTCTTGTTTAGTATGCTCTGAGAACAAAAAGACTTGTAAAGATACTTAGAGCAGAGACTAATTTGAATAATATAATAAAAATTGGGAGACATAGAGCCCACGCCTCAGCATGTTTACTCAGTGAGTTCAGTGGAACTTCCTGGTTAGCTTGCTTAGGACTGTAACTTTAGAAAAATTAAATGTTTAAATATTTAACTTTGTGGGTATACATTTAAATCTTGGGAAACTCGGGATCCAGCAGCGAATGCTGAGTCATTGCTGCAGGATGTCAGCGTCAAAATTCAAGAAAGGCTATCAAGTTGGCATGGAATGACGTAGGAATTCAGAATGTTTAGAACGGATAAAAGAATTTAACGTAACTAAAGATAGGAAAAATGTGATAGGTTTACCTAGCTGTAAACACACCTGTTGAGGTGTGTATGCTGTTGATTTTAAATGGTGTAGTACTTTCGTAGGTCACTTGTTGCAATTGGACAGCAATCACAAGGGTGTTTACTTGTTCATTTTAAAAAATAATTTTTAAATGAAAGGAAGGTTTGGAAAGAAAGAGACATTATGGGTTGTATCCACCTAAGTCATAGAGTAAACCCATTGAAATAAATGGATTTGGGTTACCATATTCGCTCGGATGTCGTGCACACCTTTTTTGGCCAAATTATGTCACAAAAATTAGGGTGAGCATTAGATTTGATGGCGCATTTACATTCACCAGCAAATACTTTTTTGGTTTCAAGGTTTTGAAAATTGAGGTGTGCATTAGATTTGATGGCTCATTAAATTTGCGTAAATAAGGTAGTTATGATTAACTTTAATCCATTGATTTCAGTGTGTTTACTCTGAGTATGATTTAAGCCAAATTCCTTACAGTTGAAATCCAGAGGACAGTGGCAAGAACGGTTAACAAAAGTGATCAGGACGTATACCTTGGCTGTGTTAGTTTGTTAGGCTAAGGACTAAATGTCCTCCTGGAAGAGAATTGCTGGTAGCTCCCAATATGAAACATCTCTGGGTTCGTATACTGTACTACTCTTGTTTATTGCTCTGTTTAAAATGCAAACAGCTAAATTCACAGCTGTCAGCCTTAAGGCTTATAGGTTATCTAGAGATGACAAATCTAAGGGGAGAGTAGCAAATGTAAAAAAAAGAAAGATGAAAACTATTATTATTGCCCTGTTTTATCTGTTAATATGTCACATACAATATGTCAGAACAGGGAAGATTTCCTAGTGAGGAAATCTAGTCTCCTCCCCCATCGTTTTACCCAGACACTGAGGTCCAGCGCCGAGGGCCTTCTGGTGGTTCCCTCACTGCGAGAAACCAAGTTACAGGGAACCAGGCAGAGGGCCTTCTCGGTAGTGGGACCCGCCCTGTGGAACGCCCTCCCATCAGATGTCGAGGAAATAAACAACTATCTGACTTTTAGAAGACATCTGAAGGCAGCCCTGTTTAGGGAAGCTTTTAATGTTTGATGTATTACAGTATCTTAATATTTTTTTGGAAGCCGCCCAGAGTGGCTGGGGAAGCCCAGCCAGATGGGCAGGGTATAAATTATTATTATTATTATTATTATTATTATTATTAGTGAAGTCAATGATGCCATTGTGCAGAGGTGTTGTGTGTGCAGAGTGCTCAAGGCCACGTAGCAGATCCATGGCCTTTAATCTGGGTCCTGTAACTGAACAGTCACCCCTTCCTTACCAGCGCTAATGGGTTTAACTAAGAGTTTCCAATGAACTAAGTGTAATTCCTCAGCCCCCTAAAGTGTCCATCAGTGCCCTAGCACAGAAGGGCAGCATGCGTGGGATGAGAGAGCAAAATAATTAGACACCATCCCGATTTGGAGAACTGCACATCCCTCTGTTTGGTATATTTATGTCTGCAATGTCAAAATTGTTAGGAACTGTTTCTACCTATATAGAATAGTACAGTCAAACCTCGAGTCACAAACGCCTCCGTTTTGGAACGTTTCAGCTCCCAAACGCTGAAAACCCAGAAGCAGTGCTTTTTTTTCTTGGCGGGGACGCATACCCCTAAACATTTTGTGAATCTAAATTTGGCCTCATTGAGGGGCAGTATTTCAATATAAGTAGGAAAATGAGAGTATAGTCATACCTTGGTATAAATACGCTTCAGGTTGAGCGCTTTTGCATTGCACTCTGCAGCGACCCAGAAGTAACGGAGCGCGTTACTTCCAGGTTTCGCCGCTCGCGCATGCGCATATGGTCAAAATGACGTCACGCGCATGCATGGAAGTGGCGAAACGTGCCCCACGCATGCGCGGACGCGCTGTCGCGTCTTACGTTCTGTTTGGGATGCGAACGGTGCTCCAGAACGGATCTGTTTGGGATGCGAACGGTGCTCCAGAACGGATCCCGTTTGCATCCCGAGGTACCACTGTACCCCAAACATTTTTTGTAGAAAAAAAGCACTGCCCAGAAGTAAATGCTCCGGTTTTCAAACATTTTTCGGAAGCCGGACATCTGACGTGGCTTCTGATTGAGTGCAGGAAGCTCCTGCAACCAATCGGAAGCCGCACCTCGGTTGTCAAACATTTTGGAGGCTGAATGGGCTTCCAGAACTGAGGCTTAACTGTATACGTCAAAGTAAACACCACAGTACATTATTTCTGCTTTTGTTTTCTCTGTAAATTTCAGGTTGTACCTGGGCACACTTCGCCTGCCCGCATATCGGCATCAGCAATGAAGCAAAAGTTTGCATTTGACAACACTAGCTTTGTGGAGGACTTGGACGACTTACCCCCTCCTCATTCTCAAGTGAATGCTGTTACCGTCAGTATTTTGGGTATGACTTGCCAAGCCTGTGTACATTCCATAGAAGGCAGAATATCCAAGGTAAAAGGAATTGTAAACATCAAGGTGTCTCTTAAGGAAAGTAATGCTGTGGTCAAGTATTTGGAACTGGAAATAAGTCCCCATCAGATCTGTCAAGAAATCAAGGAAATGGGATTTGATGCCAGCGTTGCAGATACAACGCAGTCTTCAGGGCAACAGACCGATGAAGATTTAGTTAAGATCAAAATAGAAGGCATGACCTGTCAGTCTTGTGTTAGCACCATTGAAGAAAAGATTGGGAAACTACATGGGGTGAAGAAGATCAGAGTGACCCTCAGCAGCCAGGAAGCCATCATTGCTTATCATCCCTTTATCATTAAGCCTGATGAATTAAAAAATAGCATAGACAGCCTGGGATATGAAAGCACTATAAAGCATAAACAAGCCCCGTTGAAACTTGGCTTGATTGACGCAGAACGTTTACAGCAGATAAATATAAGAATGCCTGCTGACAGAGAGACAATAGAAAACAATGGGACCAGTGCATCTGTTGTAGAGCTCAGTGTGGAAGGGATGCACTGCAAATCTTGCATCAACATCATTGAAAGTTCAGTCTCGGACTTGCCTGGTGTCCAGCGTATTAAAGTGTCATTGGAACAGAAAAATGCTCTTGTGTGGTTTGACCAGAATCTGATCACTCCATCCTCACTGCAGCAAGCTATCGAGGCCCTTCCCCCTGGTAACTTCAAAGTCTCCTTTTCCAGTGAAGTTGAGGACCATAATGGACCGCTTAACTTAAGCACGCCATCATCTTTGCCTTGTGCCTCTAGCAACCCTCCTCACGTAGTCCTGCAAAGTGAATCTTGTACAACTGTGATTAGGATTGATGGAATGACTTGCAATTCCTGTGTAAAATCCATTGAGAGCGCCATATCGCAAAGAAAAGGGGTCGGACATATATCTGTGTCTTTAGCTGAAGGCACTGCAATTATACACTACAGTTTGATGATAACCAACTCTGAAGAACTCAGATCCGCTATAGAAGACATGGGATTTGATGCTTCTGTCTTAACAGGTACAAACCAGTAATGGAGACTTCCTCCATAACAGTACTAGCATCTAGGGATGGGCAAAAGTGTCAGTTTTGGTTTCTCTCAGTTTTTTTCAAAATCTGAAATTGAGTTATCCGCATATCCACACCAGTTTGCAATTAAAAACCACAACTCATTCATTAGCAGCTTAGTGTGAATGTCTCTAGTACAGTGGGACCTCGGGTTACATACGCTTCAGGTTACAGACCCCCCTAACCCAGAAATAGTACCTCAGGCTAAGAACTTTGCTTCAGGATGAGAATAGAAACCGTGCTCCGGCAGCGTGGCAGCAGCAGGAGGCCCCATTAGCTAAAGTGGTGCTTCAGGTTAAGAACAGTTTCAGGTTAAGAACAGACCTCCAGAACAAATTAAGTACTTAACCCGAGGTACCACTGGTATATACTTTTGTATGGAATTTGGCCCAATATGGACATTTTTGCAAAGCTTGTTTTTCTAACATTTATTTTTAGAAATAAAAAAATGCATTTTATATGTTATTGTTACTAATGTGTGCATATTATGCACACTTTTCCTTAATATATGCATTTTATATACATTTAATATGCATTTAATAATAATAAATAGTATACTGTACTGCCCTACCCCCCAGGTCTCATTTCATGACTAGAGAACTGCACTGCAAAATTTGGAGAAGCTCAAATTTTTGGGATGGGTGTGTTTAGGTTCCCTTAGTGTTTAGGAAAGTGCAAATTATGTAGATTCACCTTTAAATGTGAACGGAATTGAATTTCTCCCCCATCCCTACTGATCAACAAACTGTACAACCTGTGTACTGTCTTTCTTAAACATACTACAGTTTAGTTTATAAGTTATAAGCAGCATTTCTCTGGAGTTCTGCCTAATCCTCAGTACAGTGGTGCCCCGCAAGACGAATGCCTCGGAAGACGAAAAACTCGCTAGACGAAAGGGTTTTCCGTTTTTTGAGTCGTTCTGCAAGACGAATTTCCCTATGGGCTTGCTTCGCAAGACGAAACGTCTTGCGAGTTCTTGCGAGTTTGTTTCCTTTTTCTTAAAGCCGCTAAGCCGCTAATAGCCGTGCTTCGCAAGACGAAAAAACTGCAAGACGAAGAGACTCGCGGAACGGATTAATTTCGTCTTGCGAGGCACCACTGTAGCTGTTTCACTCCTTATCTTTGGAATCACATCCTAAAAGGTCTTGATCCTTTTAAGATTTGGAATACAATACATAGGTGCAGCCTAGGAGAAAATCCCAAACCTGTAAATGAAGTGTAGCATGTTGAGTCAACACTGTAAAGTCAGTGAAATAGTTCCATGGCTGTTGCTCATATGAATGCAATTTCTGATGTTCTTATTCAAGATACCACCAACGGGAGACCTACTACTGTTGGAAGTCTGGAGACCAGCATGCTGGCCTCTGCTTCTCTGAGAAGTGAAACTCTTTCAGAGTTGCCATGTGGAGACGTTTTGCCACAGAAAAGGAACTTGTATAACGACCCTCCAAAGCCATCCACAACAGGAAAAACCGATAAATGTTTCATGCAGGTCACAGGCATGACTTGTGCATCATGCGTATCAAGCATCGAGAAGAATCTGCAAAAAGAAGATGGTAAAATAGCTAATATGCAGTATATTGGTTGTTTTAGTAGCGCCTTCGGGTGCGTTGAGCCTGTGGCTGTCAACTGCTGCTGGCTATATGGATTGTTTGCTGCAGATCTGGGACCGTAGGAGGTGGATTAGCATCCTTCTCTTGAATGGGACTATCTCGTTCTATTGGAGTACCGTATTTTTCACCCTATAGGACACACTTTTCCCCCTCCAAAAATGAAGGGGAAATGTGTGTGCGTCCTATGGGGCGAATGCAGGCTTTCGCTGAAGCCTGGAGAGCGAGAGGGATCGGTGCGCACCGACCCCTCTTACTCTCCAGGCTTCAGGCAGCTATCCGCAAGCCTTGGGAGCCCAGCGTGACTTCCCGCCGGTCTCCCCAGGCTTGCGGATAGCAGCCTGCTTCCTGAAGCCTGGGGCGCGCCACGGAGCGCGCCCCAGGCTTCGGGCAGATATCCGCAAGCCTGGGGAGACCGGCGGGAGTTCCCGCCTGGCTCCCAAGGCTTGCGGATAGCAGCCTGTTCTGGGGGCTGGGGTCGGGGGAAGCTCGGGCTTCCCCCGCCCCAGCCCTGCGCCTGGGGGGGAAATAAAATTGTTTTTCTTTAATTCCCCCCCCCAAACTAGGTGCACCCTATGGGCCGGTGCGCCCTATACAGCGAAAAATACGGTAAATCTAGTCTCATTTATACATTGCTTAGCCTTCCTCATAACTATATATTCTTTGAAGTGAGGACCATTTATTTCAGATGGGCATGCGTCCAAGTAAAGGTAAAGGTACCCCTGCCCGTACGGGCCAGTCTTGACAGACTCTAGGGTTGTGCGCCCATCTCACTCAAGAGGCCGGGGGCCAGCGTTGTCCGGAGACACTTCCGGGTCACATGGCCAGCGTGACATCGCTGCTCTGGCGAGCCAGAGCCGCACACGGAAACGCCGTTTACCTTCCCGCTAGTAAGTGGAACCTATTTATCTACTTGCACCCGGGAGTGCTTTCGAACTGCTAGGTTGGCAGGCGCTGGGACCGAACAACGGGAGCGCACCCCGCCGCGGGGATTTGAACCGCCGACCTTTCGATCGGCAAGCCTTAGGCGCTGAGGCTTTTACCCACAGCGCCACCCGCGTCCCTCATGCGTCCAAGTAAAGGGGTCTAAAATAGTAGCCTGAGTTGAGTAACAAAAACATCTGTTTAACAGTAAGAGCTGCGTACTGCTCTCATTGCTTGTGGGTGACTCATAAATTATTATTATTATTATTATTATTATTATTATTATTATTATTATTTAGTCCATTTATAGATGGCTTACTAGTCACAGATCTCGGATGTGGTTAACAATCTGGAAAATCAAAATTCCTAATCAAAATACATAACTAATACAGTAAGCACAATTTCATCTGGTTTTCCTGAAGAGAAATCCAAATGCGTGAATGCAGTTCTCTCGCTACAGGAATAGTTTCTGTCCTCGTTGCCTTGATGGCAGGGAAAGTGGAAGTAAAATATAAGCCGGACAGAATTCAGCCCCTTGAAATAGCCCAGCTGATTGAGAACCTCGGTTTTGGAGCGTCAATCATGCAAGACTATCCTGGCGCAGATGGCAATATAGATCTTAAGGTGAGATTCACAAAGTGTGTGCTTGTTTGACCGAACCTTTTCTCTGCCTCTAACACATCTCAATCTTGTTCTCATTGGGTGTTCTGTCGCTAGAGGCCTTTTATGTGGTCAGAAAGTTGGCATCTTGATCGATATTTGCCTCCGCTGCAGCAGCTTCACATTTTGAGCAGTTTCTGCTTCCTGATTGTTGGATATTCTGGCTGTGGTTATTGGGAATTGGAATCCACAACATCTTTTTGATTTGGAACTCCTCTAACTCTTCCCGTCAGTTTTGCTAGTTGCAAGTATTCTATCATAAGTGTCTGTTATCGTTGGTGATGTTTCACTTTTCCAGTTTCTCGCCACAAGTATTCTAGCTGCCGTGATTGCATACATGAACAATGGTCTTATATATTTTTTAATTTCTGTCGGTAAGATACCTAATAGAAAAATCTCTGGTCTTTTTTTTAAAAGTAAGTTTGAATAATTTCTTGAATTCATTGTAGATATTGTTCCAAAATTCACGGATAACTACACAGGTCCACCACATATGATAGTATGACCCTGTATCTTTTTTGCACCTCCAGCAAGTTGGTGATCTGCTTTTGTACATTTTAGCAAGTTTTAAAGGGGTATGGTGCCATCTGTATAGCATCTTCATGGTGTTTTCCCTAAGATTATAACATGCTGTAAATTTAATATCTACCCTCCACAATCTTTCCCATTGCTTCATGTTCAAATCAGAAAGTATATAGAGAATGGAGAATATTTAAGATTATATTGTACAAATAATATTATACTAGCAGAACTTGAATGATACCTGTAAGTAAAAAAGTGTAACAGATATCATTTCGGATCATATGAAAATAATATGAAATAACATAAAACTGTGCGATAAAACAGTGACAATATAAACAGTATAATGAGAACGATTGGAAGTTTTACAGCCATAACTTTTATTTAACTGTTATTTGAGATGATGTATTTTCTTTTTGTATGCTTTCTCCCCTTTTCTTTGCATCCTTTCCCCCCTTTTTTTTTCTTTCCTTTGTTTCCACTGTAAATGATCTTTTATGTTTGTATTTTAAATCAATAAAGATTATTAAAAAGGTAAAAAAGGAATCCGCAGCATCTGGAGGGCACCATGTTAGCTGTACCTGGACTAGGTGGACCAATGGTCTGGTGGTTTATAAGGCAACTTCCCATGATAACACTAACTGCAGTTCTCTTTCAGGTCCTAGGGATGACCTGTGCTTCATGTGTTCATAACATTGAATCCAAACTTACCAAAACGCCCGGCATTCTTTATGCATCTGTGGTGCTGGCTACTTCCAAAGCTCACATCCGCTTTGACCCGGAAGTTGTTGGTCCTCGAGATGTTATAAAGATTATCGAGGTAAGCTATTAAAACATTTTGTTATTATTATTTTTTTAAAAGCCCAACTGCATTTGCCATTGCCGCAGGAGCTAGGGGTCAGTATCAGTAAGGTGGGTGTTACAAATTTTGTGCCAGCCAGGCTGCTAGTTGTGTTTACTGGTTAGTAAACTTTCACACTAGACACATGGCTGCAGGCTATCGTCGTTTCTCAGGGAAATTGTTGTTGCTGTTTAGTCGTTTAGTCGTGTCCGACTCTTCGTGACCCCCTGGACCAGAGCACGCCAGGCACTCCTGTCTTCCACTGCCTCCCGCAGTTTGGTCAAACTCATGCTGGTAGCTTTGAGAACACTATCCAACCCTCTCGTCCTCTGTCGTCCCCTTCTCCTTGTGCCCTCCATCTTTCCCAGCATCAGGGTCTATTCCAGGGAGTCTTCTCTTCTCATGAGGTGGCCAAAGTATTGGAGCCTCAGCTTCAGGATCTGTCCTTCCAGTGAGCACTCAGGGCTGATTTCCTTCAGAATGGATAGGTTTGATCTTCGTGCAGTCCATGGGACTCTCAAGAGTCTCCTCCATCACCATAATTCAAAAGCATCAATTCTTCAGTGATCAGCCTTCTTTATGGTCTAGCTTTCACTTCCATACATCACTAGAGCCAGTGTGGTGTAGTGGTTAAGAGCGGTAGTCTCGTAATCTGGGGAACCAGGTTCGCGTCTCCGCTCCTCCACATGCAGCTGCTGGGTGACCTTGGGCCAGTCACACTTCTCTGAAGTCTCTCAGCCCCACTCACCTCACAGAGTGTTTGTTGTGGGGGAGGAAGGGAAAGGAGAATGTTAGCCGCTTTGAGACTCCTGAAGGGGAGTGAAAGGTGGGATATCAAATCCAAACTCTTCTTCTTCTACTACTACTGGGAAAACCATAGCTTTTACTATACGGACCTTTGTTGGCAAGGGAAATAGCAGGCTGCAAAACAAATGTGAAAATGATCCTGGGAATGGTGTTGAACATTCCTCAAACTCCTGTAAAGCAAAGCGTCAATTTATGAAAGTGCTTCTTGAGATCTTGTCTTATAGCACATTGAAGTTTACTGTAATGGTTGTTCAGAGTAGAGCTTTATAGGAAGCCCAACGCAAGTTGCAGATCGGTAGCTTAGCAAAAAGTCTGATTTTTTTACTAAATTTAAGGATGATCAACCCCAGTTCTGCAGGAAAAATGAGGATAACAAAGAAGTCTGTACAGTGAAGCACAGTCAGGAGAATCATTCTGGATAATGGGAGAACAATAATGTTCTTCAAGGATAGAATTTGTTTTTTAAAAGGTAGACTTTTCTGGCATGTTGGTTTCCTTGTTTACTGTGGAATTCTAAAAACAATAAAGGAATAACATTTTTAATTTTGAATCAGTCTGTGGATAGAAGCTGTGTGAAGTCACTTTATAGGGAAAATTTAAGCGATGAGATTAAAATGAAAACAGGAGAAGAAATACAAAAATGAGGGACAGTAGTACTAAATTCCTGTATAGTGTTGTTTGAAATAATTAAGGTGGTAGCGTACTGGTGATATTTGATAGTTTTTAGTGTAGTTTTACTTTTGACGTGCACGTATCAACAAAATAGAAAACTTACTAGAATAACAAGCAAAATTAAGAGGATCAGTCATGTTGCATTTTCAAAGTACACGACATTTCCTGTCAACTGTTATTATTTAATACAGTGGTACCTCGCAAGACGAATGCTTCGCAAGACAAAAAACTCGCTAGACGAAAGGGTTTTTTGTTTTTTGAGCTGCTTCGCAAGACAATTTTCCCTATGGGCTTGCTTCGCAAGACGGAAACATCTTGCAAGTTTGTTTCCTTTTTCTTAACACCGTTAATACAGTTGCGACTTGACTTCGAGGAGCAACTCATAGAACGCGGTGTGGTAGCCTTTTTTGAGGTTTTTAAAGACTTTGGTGATTTTTGAAGCTTTTCCAAAACTTTCCCGACACCGTGCTTCGCAAGACGGAAAAAATCGCAAGACGACAAAACTCGCGGAACGAATTAATTTCGTCTTGCGAGGCACCACTGTATATATCTTCTTTTCAAAGCTACCTTATGGAATCTCTCCAAAGAAGTCCATGCATGGACGGCGGTAGCCAATTATAGTCTTTTGAAATTTTCTTTTTTGCTTTGAGGTTTCCTTTTACAATCAAGTGGTATATAAATTTTATTTGGGGATGGGGGGAAAGATACATAATGTAATGCCATTTTTTTATCTAGACATAGTCCCGTTATTATTCCCATTTCATAGAATACCCTTTTTGAAAACTCATTTATTTTTTCACAGCACCACCACATATGGAAGAATGTTCCTGACTCCCTACTTCCCATCTAGTACAATGGACTGCTCACCCGTAATTTTACTAAGGATGTGAGGAGTCATGTACCATCTGTGTATTAGTTTAAAATAATTTTCCCTTTTATGGGCAGAAGCTCTTTCGCTCAGTATTTTGTCCCATACACGATTCCACTTGGCTTCATTCATGGAAACATTTAAATTATGCCCCTGAGTTTTCCTATGGAAGTCTAGGGTTTTCTTGCAACGGTGTTGTATAGATTTTTGGATAAGGTTCCCTTGTCTGTGAAGGATCTTTGAGTAAATATTCAAAAACCATTAAAGGTCTGGTTGGTTCAGATATATTTTCAGGAATGATGATAAAATGCATAATTGGATATAATTGGATCCAATTCGTTTTCTCCAATTTTCCTTTTATTTGGTTCCAGTTAATATTTGATACTAGTGAAAAAATAGCAAAACCAGCTGTTTTTAGATTTTGTAAAGCTTATACAAATCAGAGCTACGTATCGGGAAATGGTTCTAAAATCTGAAAACCCAGATTTTGAGAGCTTGAAAAATAATAGAGCAGTGTAACCAGCAGTACTTCATTTGAGCTATTTTATTTCATATTTAATTTTATACTATTTCTTTCTTTTTTGTAAAGGGGATCGGTTTTCAAGCATCTTTGGCTAAAAGGGATCCAAAGGATCATAACTTGGATCACAAAGAGGAGATCCGACAGTAAGTATAGCTACATATATGAAAGGGTGTGGTTGATAGATACGGATGGCAACACAATAATTCCCAATGCAGGTAACTGAATATCTGTGGTATGTAGGTATCTGTGTGACTGAAAATTGTGAGTGTTCAATTTTTTGTGGGTACAAACGTTTCACATTACCTTTGATTGGGTTTGGGTTTGCGTGTGGTTTGGGAGCTGCACAACCAGGGAAAAAACAATGCTATCCAGGGTTGTAAAGACTGCAGAGAGAATTATTGGGTGCACTCTTCCCACCTTAGATCAAATCTATGCTGCCAGGTGCCATAAGAAAGCGGCAGAGATAGCACATGATAGTAGGCACCCCGGAAATGATCTCTTTCAGCTTCTGCCTTCTGGAAGAAGGTATAGGGTTATAAAGGCCAGGACTAGCTGCCTGAAAAACAGTTTCTACGCTAATGCAATTCTGGTTCTAAACACGGCATAAGGGGTCTCTGTAGTATAGTGTATTTTAAAATGGGGTTTTAGAGTTTTTTAGGGGTTTTTGAATGTTTTATGTAGTTTTGTAGTAGTTTTATGTAGTTTTGTGGTAGTTTTATGTAGTTTTTATGTAGTTTTATGTAGTTTTCAATTTCATTGTTCCACAAGGGACAATGACAATAAAGATATCGTATCATATTGTCTTTGTTTTACAGAAGTGTAGGAAAGTATATGAATGCTTTGAGCTGAAACGTGGAATCAGAAATTTATATTTGGGGTTCGGTGGTTCCCCAGCTGGTACTGCTGTCAGCAGAAGCAGGTCTTGTGCAATATTTGCCTATTTCGTTACCAAGGAAATTTGAAGACTCTAATACTGTGGATTCCCTGCCTTTTCAGATGGAGGAAATCGTTCTTATGCAGCCTGGTATTTGGTATCCCTGTCTTGATCTTAATGATTTACATGCTAATACCTGATGGTCAGCAGCACGGATCAATGGCTCTGGAGCAAAATGTGATCCCTGGATTATCTATTCTCAACCTTCTTTTCTTTCTCCTTTGCACTTTGGTTCAGGTACATTTCACGAATATTTCCTTTCTTTTTAATCTCCCATTACATAATTGGATGTTTACAGAGAGGATGAAAGGTGTTCATCAAGCCAGCAAAAGTGTTACAAGAATAGGTGGTTTTCTTTTGACAGTTCTTCGGCGGATGGTACTTCTACGTACAAGCCTACAAGTCCCTAAAGCACAGAATGGCCAATATGGACGTCCTGATAGTGCTGGCCACGTCTATCGCTTACATCTACTCATGCGTCATTCTGATGGTTGCCATAGGTGAAAAGGCAGAGCAAAGCCCCATCACCTTTTTCGACACCCCTCCAATGCTGTTTGTGTTCATATCTCTTGGGCGGTGGCTGGAGCACATAGCAAAGGTAATGTATATTAAGACTTGGTTCTAGAGGGGACCCTACCAGAAGCAACGTGCTGAGTGAGGTGGTACCACCATGCTAGCTTCCCAGCAGATGGGTCACTGTGGCTTGCTGGGAGGGAGAGAGAGGGTGAGGCACAGAGAGATCAGCATGGTACAGTTGCACTAGTGCAGTCATGTTCAACCGGTTGACCGCGATCGACAGGTAGGTCCCTGGGGTGCTCCCGGTCGATCGCGGGATTCAGAAAGGTGATCGCCTGTGTAGTCCTGTGTAGTACATCGCTCTGCCCCCGGTGCTATGTCCCATTGCCGCTGCCACAAATCCCTGCGTCAGTGGCATAGTGTTTGAACGATACAGTACTGTGTACAAGAACTCTGGGCACTCCACCCCTAAAAAGCTCAACAACTTTGGGAATCCTACCGCCCTGGCAAAAAAAAGATCACGGCCAGTTTTATTATACTGGGAGTAGATCGCAGTCTCTAGAGAGTTGGACGTGCTGCTAGTGTAGCAGTTCCACTCTCACCCATTGAGCACCTTTAGGACCCCACAGAATATCCGTTCTGACTCTGTGCTTTGAGGATGGAAACATAATCTTGAAAGATCACCCTCTAACCTTTCTTTGGAAACTGAGTTGAGAAGGAGTTCACAACTTCCCAGGTTAAGTCTGCCTGCATTAGTAATTTACAAGCGTGAACATTAAGTTTAAGCAACTGCCTTGGTAACATGTGGGAGTTAGTACAGAAGGAATGATTAGTCTTACATGAAGAAGAAGAAGAAGAAGAAGAAGAAGAGTTTGGATTTGATATCCCTCTTTATCACTACCCGAAGGAGTCTCAAAGCGGCTAATGTTCTCCTTTCCCTTCCTCCCCCACAACAAACACTCTGTGAGGTGAGTGGGGCTGAGAGACTTCAGAGAAGTGTGACTGGCCCAAGGTCACCCAGCAGCTGCATGTGGAGGAGTGGAGACGCGAACCCGGTTCACCAGATTACGAGTCTACCGCTCCTAACCACTACACCACACTGAATGGTAGATGTGATAGGTTGCTGATGACCTGGATGGGTTTGGTACCATCCTTCATCACATGATGGAGGCAGAGGAGCAAAGAACTATGGGAGGCATGCGCAATCCCCTCAGATCCTGCTGCGGCTTTCCCACAGCCGTCTGGTTGGTCACTGAGAGAACAGGATGTTGGACTGCATGGCCCACTGTCCTGATTCCTATGTTTTTGTTTGGATTCTAGAGCAGGGAACAAAAGGCCAAAATGTTACAGCAATAAAACGCAAGAAGTACACCAGTACCCATAGATAACTGGGCATGTTTATCTTTCAAAAGCAAGCATACACTTGGCTCCCAGCCCATACAGCGCTGAGCCATCTACATAATACTATACTTCAGGTGCTGAATGGGTTTCCCATGTATCTTGAGTGATGGGTGCTGTGGCATGCAATATTTAATGGGGGGAAATGGGCAATGGAGCATATTTTGAGCATAAGTGAAATTCAGTGGGGAACTGAGTAAATGTATCATTCCTTCCAATCACCGTTGTCTATCTCTGCTTCCTAGAGTAAAACATCAGCAGCACTTGCCAAATTAATCTCTCTTCAAGCTACAGAAGCTGTTGTAGTGACACTCGGAGCTGACAACTGTGTCATCAGGTATGCCAATAGTAATTCTTTCCCGATTTTCTTACGATACGATGTAGTCTTCTGAGATTTCGCAAATCCACTTCAGAGGTAAATAAGCTGTGATGGATGTAACTGGCTTTTAGGGGACAGTGCTGCTTTTGCTGTAACGTTTTTCGTGTGCTTTTTCATTGCATTCAGTTGGTTTTATATATTGGAGTGGGCTTATAAATGCATAAATGAAACCTCTATGTGGTATTCAGGAGATTTATTTGTATTGGAAGAGATGGAATACGATCAGGGTTGAGTCCTAGATGTGTAGTGTCCAGAAATCCTCACTGGTATTAGTTGGACTTCAATTTGGGGGGGGGGGGAGAGGTAGGTGTGTGTGTTTGCAATGAGACAGAGGCAGGTATAGCAGATTTTAGACCGCAATTTACACTCAGAATTTGTCTTTGCATTCCAGTGCGAAGTCCATTTGCATCTCCTTACTACACTGAGTTTGTTTATTTCTCCATGTGTGTTTTTGTAATGCTGTGTGCCTGCTGCTTTTCAGATAGTAGAGTTTCTCTCATTTCAGTGGTATGGCTAAAATGGAGCCCCTTTTTCTTAACGTATGAGATCTCACTTACAGGGAGGAACAAGTGCCTGTTGAACTGGTTCAGCGAGGAGACGTCGTAAAGGTGACACCCGGTGGGAAATTTCCAGTTGATGGAAAAGTGATTGAAGGCAGCTCTATGGCAGACGAATCCCTCATCACTGGTAACTTGTGCATTCTTAATTGAACAATAGCAGGTTCCCAGGGACTGAGCTTTGCATGGGCTTGGTCTGTGGAACAAAGAATTAATGCTGTGCAGGTGCATCGGGAGAGAGACAAAATAGATCATAGATCATATATCTGTTCATGAGTACCGGTAGATGGTGTGAAGGTGCAAGATGCACAACATTTGTTAGGAATAACAAAGGAACTAATTCCCACATAAATGTTTGCCAATGCTTGCAATTAGTTTTAGAGCTCCAGTATTAAATATTTCCACTGGTGTAATGTGCTGGCATTGCATCCCTTGAGGGCTGGAGTCGCTTTATGATCCGTGGTGCTTCATTAGCCCAATAATCAGTGCAGAGAACCAAAAACAGCTTCTCTGTTCCAAACAACGATATATGAAGCCTTCTTAATTACAGTAATCCCAGTGGAATTATTTGCTTACAACAATTCTTCTTTCACTTTTCCTGGCTAGTAGGATATAGTTGCATCCTAACAGGCAGATATGAGTGTCCAGTGCTTCTCTGGTTGGTAGCATGAATTTTAAATCTTGTTTCGCTTCTGGTAGATCTTGATCTAAGCGTTCAGGCACAGCAGGTTTTTCAGGGAACAAAGAGGTGTCCCCTCTTAGAAGAAGTAGAATCACAGGTGTAAGGCAGGCATTTTCCAGAGACATCAGTTATTGGTGCATCCATCCACATGCTTATCAAAATTGGATGGTTCTCTGCAGATCATGAGAACAAAAAAAGATCCATGCTGGATTAGGCCAGTGACCTATCCAGCCCAGTATCTTGTTCTCACATTGGCCAACCAGATGGCTGTGGAAAGCTAATAATAATAATAATAATAATAATAATAATAATAATAATAATAATAATAATAAATATATTACTTATAGGGGGGATGCGGGTGGCGCTGTGGGTTAAACCACAGAGTCTAGGACTTGCCGATCAGAAGGTCGGTGGTTCAAATCCCCTCGACGGGGTGAGCTCCCGTTGCTCGGTCCCTGCTCTTGCCAACCTAGCAGTTCAAAAGCACATCAAAGTGCAAGTAGATAAGTAGGTAGCGCTCCGGCAGGAAGGTAAATGGCATTTCTGTGCGCTGCTCTGGTTCGCCAGAAGCGGCTTAGTCATGCTGCCCACATGACCCGGAAGCTGTATGCCAGCTCCCTCAGCCAATAAAGCGAGATGAGTGCCGCAACCCCAGAGTCGGTCATGACTGGACCTAATGGTCAGGGGTCCCTTTACCTATATTACTTATACCCCACCCATCTGGCCGGGCCTCCCCAGCCACTCTAGGCAGCTCCCAACAGAATATTAAAAACATGCTGAAACATCAAATATTAAAAACTTCCCTACACAGGGCCGCCTTCAGATGTCTCCTAAAAGTCTGGTAGTTGTTTTTTCCTTTGACATTTGGTGGGAGGGCGTTCCACAGGGCGGACACCACTACTGAGAAGGCGCTCTGCCTGGTTCCCTGTAACCTCACTTCTTGCAGTGAGGGAACCACCAAAAGGCCCTCAGCGCTGGACCTCAGTGTCCGGGCTGAACGATGGGGGTGGAGATGCTCCTTCAGGTATACAAGAGCTGGAACTGAGCGTAGCAGCACTCTCCCTACCTGCAGTTCCTTGCACATTGTAGGAATGAAAATCACGACAGACGAGTAGCAGGTGTCATGAGAGGCGTCTGCCGGGGCAAGCCCCAGGAACTCTCTTTTATTGAATATTACAAACATTGCCACAGGTGTGCTTGTGGCTGATTGGTTGATACAAACACAAAACAACTTGTTGCTGATTGGTTAACATAAGTACAAGGCGGGAATTGCATATAGACATTAATCACCTATAGATTAAAGGCTGGGAAACGGAGGCTGGAACTAGACAGGCATGAAACCTCCTAATTAAATTATAACTAAAGATTGATATAGCATAAAACAATTACTAATGATTGATCATAACATGAAATAATATAATAATCAAGTTCTGTAGATGTGGTCAGCTATGCATTGAGAACAGGTCATCATGAACTTAAGATGAACTGAGCAAGGAGGGAATGTCTTGGTACAGTATTTGGAACAGGTTTGTACAGTGTGTGCAGAAGCAGAGAAAAGATTATAAGCGAGACTTCCCAGAATGCCAGAGAAAAGAAGCAATACTTCCCATAGCAAGACTTCCCATAAGGCCACAGTTATGTGCAGAAAGAGAACTTCCCTTTAGCACATGGTGTTCAGAGGGGTGCTGCTTTCAACAGTGGAGGTATAGCATAGCCATTGTGACTCGTCGCCATTGATAGCCTCATCCCGTCTGGATTTGTCTAAACCTCTTTTGAAGCCGTTAGAGGTAATGGCTATCACTACTTCTTTGCGGGAGAGAATTCCAGACTTGAGCTATGTGCCGTGTGACATTGTACTGCTTTCTGCGTGAGGGAGGAGCTAGTAGAAGGTGCTGGTTGATTTTGCTTCATTCTTGTAGGAGAAGCCATGCCTGTCATCAAGAAACCTGGCAGCACAGTAATCGCAGGCTCCCTCAACGCACATGGCTCCGTGCTTGTGAAAGCAACTCACGTTGGCTCTGATACCACCTTGGCACAAATTGTAAAACTGGTAGAGGAAGCTCAGATGTCAAAGGTAAAGCATGCTCATTTGAAGTGGTTTTTTTCTGGGGGGGCCGCCTTGAATCAGTGTTTTTGTTGTGGCATTCGACATCTGTATTGGGTATTAGAGGGGGGGAATCTAACAAGGGTAATAATAATAATAATAATAATAATAATAATAATAATATTTATACCCCGACCATCTGGCTGGGTTTCCCCAGCCACTCTGGGCGGCTTCCAACAAAGATTAAAAATACATTAGAATGTCACACATTAAAAACTTCCCTAAACAGGGCTGCTTTCAGATGTCTTATAAATGTTAGGTAGTTGTTTATCTCTTTGACATCTGATGGGAGGGCATTCCACAGGGTGGGCGCCACTACCGAGAAGGCCCTCACTTCTCACAGTGAGGGAACCGCCATAAGGCCCTCGGCGCTGGACCTCAGTGTGGAGACGCTCCTTCAGGTATACTGGGCCGAGGCCATTTAGGGCTTTAAAGGTCAACACCAACACTTTGAATTGTGCTCGGAAACGTACTGGGAGCCAATGTAGGTCTTTTAAGACTGGTGATATGCGGTCTCCAGAAGTGCTATCATGGCTGTTTGCTCCAAAAGCTTCCCATATCCTGCCACCCAAAGCTTGTTGTAGAACCTCAGCCCATACTCCCAAAATCTCTCCCAGAGGACACAGGCCCATCTCTCTTTCATCTGCCTGCTTACCTGGTTCCTGAACATCTCTCATCTTACTTGAAGCCATCTTCAAGTAAGCCAGCTGCATTGCACTACAGTGGTACCTCGTGTTAAGTACTTAATTCGTTCCGGAGGTCCATTCTTAACCTGAAACTGTTCTTAACCTGAAGCACCACTTTAGCTAATGGGGCCTCCTGCTGCCGCCACGCCGCCGGAGCACGATTTCTGTTCTCATCCTGAAGCAAAGTTCTTAACCTGAAGCAATATTTCTGGGTTAGTGGAGTCTAACCTGAAGCGTATGTAACCTGAAGCCTATGTAACCCGAGGTACCACTTGGACAAGGTCCCCTCCAAATCTGTAGTTCTATGAAACATCATCTAGTGCAATTGCTGGGGTCATGAGTACCTGCCTCTGAGGTAAGAATGTGAAAAAGCCTAAAAAAAACAAACCCCTGGGAAATTATGGAAGCAGGAGATTTCAGCCGAGCCTTATGAACGTACAATGGAAGATTCATGTGCAATTGCTGCTTTTGAATTGTGGACCTCTCACTGGCCTCTAGTCCTCCCTCTCTTCTAACCCTTCTCTCGCCTGCTACTGTCTGAAATACTACCCCATGCAAGTTTTTCCTCCTCCTCCACACCCAGGTGACCTTTGGACTCTCCATTATTTGGTTTTGCTGCTGCACTCTTGTCACGCTCCCAACTGGGATGTATCCGTTTGGATGTAAATCCTGTTGGTTTCAAGGCCTTTCTCCATCCTAGTTATTTTCTTTTGTACAAACATTATGTACTTGGGGAGATATATGAGACTTTTCCCTAGGCCTGTGCTTTTGGGATGAGAAGCTACATTTTTCTAAGCAGCTGGAAAAATGGATGTCTTCCTTCTCTCCTACCCTACCTTCCCCAATAGCTGGTTTCTTGTACCAGTGAATACTATGGTTTTCCCCGCTCTAGCACTGGCTCATCTCCCATTGATATTAAAATGTGGGAAACATGGAGTGCCCCCCCTCCGTGCAATGGGACTCCTGCTTCCACTGCTATTCAGTGCAGTTGTACTGGTTGTGGCACTACCAGGCTTCGTGAGGAAATACCTTGTCTGGGAAAACTCTTTCTCCTGTAGTTGTTGCTGTTGCTGCTCTTCCTGCTGTTGCTGTTGTTGTTTTGCCACTATTAAAAAGGACCCCTGACCATTAGGTCCAGTCATGACCGACTCTGGGGTTGCGGCGCTCATCTCGCTTTATTGGCCGAGGGAGCCAGCGTACAACTTCCGGGTCATGTGGCCAGCATGACTAAGCCGCTTCTGGCGAACCAGAGCAGCACACGGAAACACCGTTTACCTTCCCGCCGGAGCGGTACCTATTTATCTACTTGCACTTTGATGTGCTTTCGAACTGCTAGGTTGGCAGGAGCAGGGACCGAGCAATGGGAGCTCACCCAGTCACGGGGATTCGAACCGCTGACCTTCGGATCGGCAAGTCCTAGGCTCCGTGGTTTAACCCACAGCGCCACCCGCATCCCTTTTGCCACTATTACTATTACTATTACTATTAATTTTGTATACTGCCCTTCAGCCAAAGTTCCCAGGGCAATTCACAAGAGAAAAATACAAAACGGGAATACAAAATACGTAATAAAAACAAACCAATTACACCTCCCCCAACACACAAACCCATTTAATAGCCCTAAAGTGTTACTCAGCCAAACTCAGCCTGGTTGAAGAGAAATGTTTTTGCCTGGCACCTGAAGATACTGCCTTGGAGCCAAACTTCTTAGGCAGCTGACCCATTTATTTAAACCCAGGTTTGCCTCAATAATGGATGAAGTAATAGTGGTGGGTTCAAATTTTCAGGGCAAGAGGGGCACATAGGTAGAGGTTGCTGAGTCTTCCTCATGTCTGCTGTGAACCTCCTGATAGGCTTTCTCCTCCCTCCTTCTGCATCCCCACCTAAAATAAATAGCAGCAGATTGTGGGGTGGGGGTTTCATTTCTTTTTACGTCCACGAGTGTACCTCCTCTCTTTATTTTATTTCTTCAAGCCCTGTTCTATATAATGGGGCAGTCTCGTGAGTTAAGCCAGGCACACCTACTTGTTTCTATACAGTATTAAATACAGTGGTACCTCAGGTTAAGAAATTAATTTGTTCTGGAGGTCCATTCTTAACCTGAAGCACCACTTTAGCTAATGGGGCCTCCCGCTGCCGCCGCACAATTTCTGTTCTCATCCTGAAGCAAAGTTCTTAACCCGAGGTACTATTTCTGGGTTAGTGGTGTCTGTAACCTGAAGCCTCTGTAACCCGAGGTACCACTGTACAGTATTGAAATAGAAGAATAAAAAAAAATCAAATAATGGGGAAAGAATTGCAAAAAAATAATAATCACGCAATACCAAGCAGCCAAAACAAAACCATGGTACCATGTCCCAATTAAAGCCCTAACCCAAACCAGCATAACACTACTTAGAACCAGCTAGGCTTTAAAAGGTGTTAGAAGATGTCGCAGGTAAAACCACAGCTTCTTTTAGGGGGAAAAGCCTGAATTGATGACCCTTCAGTGCCTGCATAAAGGCAGCAGAGGAAGAGAGATCGTCCCTGAGAGAGGGAGTTCCATCATTGTGATGCTTCTCTGTTGTGTCCCCCGGTCTAGTTGATGGCACTGGCATGATGGAAGGAGCTCTTTCAGGGATCATCTGAAAACACAGCAAGGGTAGCCTTTGATTAACTAGTGACTGCTCTTCTTGTCCTTAATCTGAGGACTGGGTGGTGGGAGATTTTGTCAGAGGAAGGTGGCCCTATAAAGCAGGTATACGGTATCTATACCTTGGTTGTCGAACGGAATCCGTTCCGGAAGTCCGTTCGACTTCCGAAAATGTTTGACAACCAAGGCGCGGCTTCCGATTGGCTGCAGGAGCTTTCTGCACTCAATCGGAAGCTGCCTCGGACGTTCAGCTTCCAAAAAACGTTTGCAAACCGGAACACAAACTTCCGGGTTTGGGAGTCAAATGGGATGAGTACCAAGGCGTTTGACAACTAAGGTACTACTGTACAGTATTTGTAAAAGGCTTAATAGTGGAGTTCATGTAGCTGTTCTGTCCTGCATAAATATAAATGTATCTTCTCAATTTATAGGCACCCATCCAGCAGCTGGCGGACAGATTTAGTGGATATTTTGTCCCTTTTATAGTCATCATTTCCGTTGCAACTCTAGTGGCCTGGATTGTAATCGGATTTGTACACTTTGATATTGTGCTGAAATACTTCACTGTAAGTACTATATACTGATTTATTATGATGTATTGTTTTTTAGAAGCTTTGCTTATATTCACAAATCACAGCAGACAGGATTTTTTTCCTTAAGTGTGTAATCACTCTGGAGTGTGTTGAATGTATGCTTCTCTGCCCCATTGGGACAGGGCTGGCAAAGAATTGATTATTTTTGCAGTGTGGATCATTTGAAAATGATTAGCCATGGCCAAATAGTTTGTGCCGAAACACTGTGTTAAGACCCAGGGCTAGTCACCACCAGCCTATGATCTAACTTGGGCTGCCAAGGACAGCAGCAAACGCACCAGATAAGATATAATGCGGGAAAGCTGTAAGGATTAGGCGTGTTTAGATTAGACATGCATTACTTGGGGGAAGCATGGTCTTCAAATACCTGAAAGGCCAACATAAAAAAGAAGAGCAGCTGTTTCCCAGAGCAACTGAAATTGAAGGCAAAGAGGAAACAAGGAGATCTAAATTTCAGAAATAAGGAATACTTTCTAACTATAAACTGAGCATTTGAACTCATTCCAAAGGGTGGTGAAAGCTGTTGTTATGTAGGGAGATGCCTAGACTTGGTTCCCCTATGTGTAGTAATCAATAAAGGGATTAAATTTTCAAGCATTAATATAGTGATTTGTCAGTACAGACGGCAGTAAGTGTGTGCGCTTGCTGGTTTTCAGCCACGGCTGCATATTGTTAATGCGTATTCTCTTTTTAATATCACTAGATTTCCCTTGTGAGCAAATTCTTCTTGCTTCCCTCCTAGCATCACAGTAAACACGTCTCGAAAACTGAAGTCGTCCTGCGCTTCGCCTTTCAGACCTCCATCACAGTCCTGTGCATCGCGTGCCCTTGTTCCTTGGGTCTGGCCACCCCAACCGCGGTGATGGTGGGCACTGGAGTTGCCGCCCAGAACGGTATTCTCATCAAAGGTGGGAAACCCCTGGAAATGGCACACAAGGTTAATATTGTCATTGCTAACTCACACCTGCTGCCATAACTCTTTTTGCTGCTTTTTGAAACAAATATCGATAGATTTACAGTGCAGTCCTATAGATGTCGACACAGAAGTAAGCCCCTGTGTTTTAGGGCTGTGTTCTTGTATTTATTAACCGTATTTTTCGCCCCATAGGGCACACCGCCCCATAGGACGCACCTAGTTTTTTTGGGGGGGAAATAAAGATTTTTTTTTAATTCCCCCCCCAGGCGCGGGGCTGGCGCAGGGGAATCCCGAGCTTCCCTGAACCCCAGCCCCGAGAACAGCCTGCTATCCACAAGCCTAGGGAGCCCGGCGGGAAATCGCGCCGGTCTCCCCAGGCTTGCGGAGAGCTGTGCGAAGCCCGGGCGCGCTCTTCAGCTTTAGGAAGTTCTGCGCAACCCTCGGGAGACCGGCACGACTTCGCGCCAGTCTCCCTACAGCTGCACAGAGCTGCGCGAAGCCCGGGGATGCAGGCAGCTCTGCGCAGCCCTCGGGAGACCGGCGCGGAGTCGTGCCGGTCTCCCGAGTGTTGCGCAGAGCTTCCTAAAGCCTGGAGAGCGAGAGGGGTCGGTGAGCACCGACCCCTCTCACTCTCCAGGCTTCAGCGAAAGCCTGCATTTGCCCCATAGGACGCACACACATTTCACCTCCATTTTTGGAGGGGGAAAAGTGCGTCCTATAGGGCGAAAAATACGGTAATTTTGATTGTATGTTTCTAGATTAAATTTTATATCTTTGTTAATTTTTTATTGCAAACTACCCAGGGAACTTTGTGTTATGGTCAGCATACAAATAAAATCTACCTGTGCCTTTATTTCTTGCAGGTACAGACTGTAATGTTTGATAAAACGGGGACCATCACTTACGGAGTTCCTAGAGTCATGAGGGTCCTCTTACTAGGAGATGCAGGAGCTACTTTGTCTCTGAAGAAGGTGCTTGCTGTTGTGGGCACTGCAGAAGCCAGCAGCGAACATCCTTTAGGAATGGCTGTCACTAAGTACTGCAAAGAGGTATGACACTATGATCTAAACCACTGAACCTCCTGGGCTTGCCGATCGTAAGGTCAGCAGTTTGAATCCACACAACAGGGGTGATCTCCTGTTGCTCTGTCCCAGCTCCTACCAACCTAGCACTTCGAAAGCACACCAGTGCAAGTAGATAAATAGGTACCACTGTGGCGGGAAGGTAAACGGCGTTTCTGTGTGCTCTGGCACTCATCACAGCATTCTGTTGCGTCAAAAGCAGTTTAGTCACACTGGCCACATGACCCGGAAACCTTTCTGTGGAAAAACACTGGCTCCTTCGGCCTGAAAAGCGAGATGAGTGCTGCACCCCATAGTCAATTTTGACTGGACTTCACCATCCAGGGGTCCTTTACCTTTTTACCTCTAGTTGACACTTAGTAATCTCTGCTTTGAGGGGAAGTTCTGCATTTGCATGCAACAGACTTTTGTCATTGTTTGATCCTGTGACTGGCAACGTAAAGATGATGATGATGATTTCGTTCGTTCGTTATACCCCGCCCTTCTGGGTTGCCCCAGCCACTCTGGGCAGCTTCCAACATATCTAAAAAAATATTAAAACATTAAAAAGCTTCCCTATACAGGGCTGCCTTCAGGTGTCTTCTAAAATAAGGTTACCAGATTTTTTCCAATGAATCTGGGGACACTTTTCAACTTCAATGGATTTTGTATGGGGACTGATTTGTAAATCCGGGGACTGTCCCCGGAAAACGGTGACATCTGGTAACCTTATTCTAAAGCTTACATAGTTACTCATCTCCTTGACATCTGATGGGAGGGCCCTCCACAGGGCCGGCGCCACTACCAAGAAGGCCCTCAGCCTGGTTCATATCTCATACATTTGGGACAGTTTGGATTGTTTATGTTTGATGGTACTGAGAATCTTAAGTTACGTCACCAATTTTCAGATATTGGGGTGAGTTATGGGAGGACACTGGCACAGAGAATTTGAACGTCTTTCCACTTGTGCAACTTTCTGCTTCTTCCCAGTATCATTTAAAACTACAGTGGTGCCCCGCAAGACGAATGCCTCGCAAGACGGAAAACTCGCTAGACGAAAGAGTTTTCCGTTTTGGAGGTGCTTCACAAAACGAATCTCCTATGGGCTTGCTTCGCAAGACGACAATGTCTTGCAAGTTCCTGCGGTTCTTCCCCCCTTTCTCCCCCTTTTCTAAGCCGCTAAGCCGCTTATCAGCTGATCTGATCAGCAGATAAGTCGCTAAAAGCAGCTAAAAGCCGCTAATAGCGCTAAGCCGCTTATCAGCTGGTCCGATCAGCAGATAAGCCGCTAATAGCGCTAAGCTGCTTATCAGCTGGTCCGATCAGCAGATAAGCCGCTAAAAGCCTCTAAAAACCGCTAATAGCGCTAATCCGCTAATCTGTCAATGGGCTTGCTTCGCAAGGCGAAAAAAACCGCTAGACGAAGAGAATCACAGAACGGATTCTTTTCGTCTTGCGAGGCACCACTGTACAGTGGTACCTCTGGTTGCGGACGTAATCCATTTCGGGGTGCTGTTCGCACCCCAAAAAGTTCGCAACTAAAGCACCTCTTCCGCGCATGTGTGCAGTGCGATCGAGTGCTTCTGCGCATGTACGAAGCACGCAGATTGCTTCTGCACATGCGCGCGTGGTGAACCCGGAAGACTTTACTTTGTTGCGTTCGTAAGCTGAAAGTCCGTACCTGGCGCCAGAAAGGCTGGCAAAAATGAATAAAACATATAACAGTAAGTGCTGGAGATGCAAGATACAAAAAGGAACCTTCTACCATATGTGGTGGACATGCCCCGAAATTGGGAAATTTTGGAGCATGATCCACGAAGAAATAAAGAAAATATTAAGAGTATCATATAGTAAAAGGCCAGAGGCATTCCTTTTAGGAATTTTAAATGACAATATTCCAAAAGACAAAACTAATTTTTTCTTATATGCAACGTCTGCAGCAAGAATCCTGGTGGCTAAGTACTGGAAAGGGAATCAGTTACCCACTAGGGGAGAGTGGCTATGTAAGCTCTCAGAATACTTAGAATTAGCCAAATTGACAGATATAATAAGGCAAAAACCAAAAAGTGAAGTAAAAAAAGAATGGGAGTGCCTAAAGGAATACCTCAAAAGTCAAGGTTCGAGGGCAGAAATCTGGCTGAGTCTGGAATAACCTTGTGAAGTGAAAGGTTATGAAAGAAGGATTTATATCTAGATGTTAGGATAGAGAGGATAAAGAAAACAGGAAAAGACAATGAGAGATAAAGGAGGTGCTGTGGGATTGGTGGAAGTCAATGTCTTGTTGTTGTTTTAGTGTTTATAATATTAACTTGTAAGATATGGATTTGGGTTTTTTGTTGTTTTTTAGTTTTCGAATGTTGATTTTTGTGTGTTGTGTATTGTTATTTTTTGATATCTTTCGTGTTGTTGTTGTTGTTGTGTGGAAAAATACTAATAAAATTAATTTATTAAATAAAATAAAATAAAATAAATAAAGTCTGTAACAAGAGCAGAATGCAACTAGAGGTACCACTGTCCTTATTTTGCAGGAGCTGGGCAGAGAGATCCTCGGCTACTGCAAAGATTTTCAGGCAGTCCCGGGGTGTGGAATAAGCTGCAACGTTGGCAGTATTGAAGTCGTCCTGGGTGAGACGGAGCAGCTTTTGAGCCATCCAAATCCTCACCTTGGGGACATTGGCAGAGGCGCTACAGATCCAGACCCACAGGTCCTGATCCCCAAACTGGAAGGTAAGTAAGATTGCAGCTATCGGTACAGCCGCAGGTTGCTAAATGAATGGTTCCTCAACCGATAAGATCTGGCAATTGGGTGTTTACCTTGACCACGTTCCTAGTTGCACATAATAAATGCAATCATTAAGCTGCCTTATGTGCAAAATTTTAAGACTAGGCAAAACATCTTTCTTCTGGTTGATACTGGCCTCTGGGAAATGTTGAATTGCAGAAGAGACGAGGAAGCATTAGGATTTTGAGTGACCACCTTGTCTTAATTACAAGTACTGGTGTTTAGGAAACTTCAGCAAAAATGTAGACTTCGTTGCATTCTTAATCAAGCTTCTTAGGGTAGCATCCTACTAGGAAATACATAAGAATCAATTATTAGTAGGTAGGTGGGGTAGCCCTAATCTGAATTATAGACCACGCAAACACAGCCGACTTTTCTAAATACAATACAGTGGTACCTCTAGTTACGAACTTAATTCGTTCTGGAGGTCCGTTCTTAACCTGAAACCGTTCTTAACTAGAGGCGTGCTTTCGCTAATGGGGCCTCTCGCTGCTGCTGCGCCGCTGGCACACAATTTCCGTTCTCATCCTGGGGCAGAGTTCTCAGCTTGAGGTAACTCTTCCAGGTTAGCGGAGTTTGTAACCTGAAGCGTTTGTAACGAGGCGTTTGTAACTCGAGGTACCACTGTATTTAGAAACGTCAGAAACTGTCTTGTACCAAATCAGATTGTTTCCAGCTTGCATATGCCCCATAACTGAGCAGTGTGGTTTGTCCCAGAAATTTCTTCCTTATTCTGCCTCCTCCATGGTGCAGAAATGCTCCAGCTTGAACTGTCTAGGGCAGGGGCCTGCAACCTTTAAGACAAAAATAGCTACTTGGACCCGTTTCCGAAGGAAAAAAAACCTGGGAGCCGCAAAACTCGTCATTATAAAAATAACTTTTTTGTCACCTTTTTTATTATTTCTTTGTTTGACCCCTCAGAATTACTCCTCCTCATAGAAATAAACGTTAAATTAACAAGTTACCTTTTGTGTGTGTGTGTGTGTTCTTTACTCCCCTTCAAAACAGTGACCAGCGTACATGCCCCCTTTCAATGCAGTGACCAGCGTACATGCCCCTTACAATGTAGCGGGCGGGTGGGCGGGAAGGTGACGTCAGAACGGTGCGTGACTAACGCACGCCCCGCCCCCATGCGACGTCACAGCCAGTACAGCGCCCGCCACAGTGGGGAGTGTCGGGGCGCACAATGCGCCTCCTCCCCTCGCTAGTATCCGCCCCGGAGCCGCGGCAAAGGTGTAAAAGAGCCACATGCGGCTCCGGAGCCGCGGGTTGCAGACCCCTGATCTAGGGAGAGAATAGGTGGGCAGGAGAGACTGGAGGAAGCAAAAATCTGTCAATCCCCTTTTGACTTCAGCAATCCCTGACCATTATCCATGCTGTCCACTGGGGCTGATGGAAGCTGGTGTTCAAAAACATCTGAAGGACCACAGGTTCTCCATCACTGGCCGATTTTATAGTTTTAACCTATTTCCATCTTGTCAAGTTCCTTGTACTTCTTGGCTGTGAGCTCTGGAAGACCTGCACCCCTGCCTTGTAGGCCTTTTCCACCTGGCCTGGGAGGGCAGGGTCCTGGCAGACTCCAGCTACAGATGCTGCAGCTGCTGAACAGACATTTAAGCTGGATGTTGTTTTTTGGGGGGGCTGCTGTTGCTGGGGTGTTTTTTTTTAATCTTTATTTTAGATTTTGTTGTGATTTCTGCGGAAATTGTTCCATTTAGTATTGTGTATTGTAATGTTTTATTTATTGCATATGACTACTTTTGTTATAAGGGACGCGGGTGGCGCTGTGGTGTAATCTCAAGACAGGGCAACATTTATTCTGCTGGTTACTTTTTGATGCATGCATTTTCTTTTTACCTTTAAGTTATATGCCTCTCAGGGTCCACCTCTGACAGAGTAATTATATATGCACGCCTACTCAGAAGTATGCAGACGCGGGTGGCGCTTTGGTCTAAACCACAGAGACTAGGACTTGCCGATCGGAAGGTCGGCGGTTCGAATCTCCGTGACAGGGTGAGCTCCCGTCGCTCGGTCCCTGCTCCTGCCAAACTAGCAGTTCAAAAGCACGTCAAAGTGCAAGTAGATAAATAGGTACCGTTCCGGCGGGAAGGTAAACGGCGTTTCCTTGCACTGCTCTGGTTTTGCCAAAAGTGGCTTAGTCATGCTGGCCACATGACCCAGAAAACTGTCTGCGTACAGACGTCGGCTCCCTCGGCCTATAGAGCGAGATGAGCTCCACAACCCCAGAGTTGTCTGCGACTGGACTTAACTGTCAGGGGTCCTTTACCTTTTTTTTTTACTTTTGTTATGTTGTAGTTATGTATTTTTTATCATGTTGTAAGCTGCCTTGAGCATGGTTTGAACTGTAGAGAGGCTGCATACAAATAAAATTATGTATTTATGTGTGTATGTATATATAGAAGCTGTTGACTGATATTTGTAAACTGTTGGGAGATCCCAAGAAATCCAGGCTAAAAACTGACATTTGAGTCAGTTTTGGTCAGACAATCTGATTTATGCTGATAGGGTTTTTGCTTTGACATTTAAAGTCTAGTTCGGACAGCAGATGATGTCTTCCTCACCCTTTCACTCTGCGGGGCCTGTTCTTTATAACTTCTCCACATTAGCTGGCATCAAAATTGGATAAGAGAGCAAATGTGGTGAAAACAAGCCTCTTTGTAGGGATTTGGTGACTTGCATGCCTCATCAAAGAGGTTTGGGGAGTGTGTGTGTGTGTGTGTGTGTGTTCCCTCCACTGCCTTAAAAACATGGCACCTGTGTGTTTTTGATTCTGTCAGTCTGTGAAAAGATGCCCTACAAATCTATCTTCCGCATGTTGTAATTTTCCAAATGTCTTAAGTGTATGCTAGCAAAGTTTGATAGGCACAAGGCAACTGCTGTATTGTCAGTCAGTCAGTCCTGGCTCTCGCCGCTCCTACAACGGGGAGAGTTGTGTCTGGCGCCCATTACAACAGATAACGTGGGACAACATGCTGTTCTCAGATGAGTCCTTCCCTGTAATTTTGGAACCCTTTTGCACTATTAAGTTTTCATGCCGTCCAATTTCTGTGCCTGGCAGATGCAGCAGCCCCTGTGACTTACTCTGTGTTGATCGGGAACCGCGAGTGGATGAGACGGAACGGCTTACATATCTCCAGGGATGTTCACGAGGCAATGACCGGCCACGAAATGAAAGGACATACGGCTATACTGGTGGCCATAGATGGTACTCTATGCATTTAGACACATTTTCGCCGCCTGGGCAAGTGGCATCCAGCTCGACATGTCGCGTGTTGTGGGGAGGAGAGGGTGGAGGGGCTGCAGGACCAGGATGGCCAAAGCAGCGCACCAGTGGGGTGTCTCTCAGGTCCAGAGCTAGAGATGAAAATTGAGAGGAATACCATATTTTTTGCACCATAACACTCACTTTTTTCCTCCTAAAAAGTAAGGGGAAATGTCTGTGTGTGTTATGGAGGGAATGCCTACAGGTGGCATGCCTACGGAATTTCCTCCTCTAAAAACTATGTGCGTGTTATGGTCGGGTGCATGTTATAGAGCGAAAAATACGGTAAGTGGTTTTGGCTGGCTGAATATACAAGAGTCTTGTGGATATACAAGAGCCAGCGTGGTGTAGTGGTTAAGAGCGATAGACTCGTAATCTGGGGAACCTGGGTTCGCGTCTCCGCTCCTCCACATGCAGCTGCTGGGTGACCTTGGGCCAGTCACACTTCTCTGAAGTCTCTCAGCCCCACTCACCTCACAGAGTGTTTGTTGCGGGGGAGGAAGGGAAAGGAGAATGTCAGCCACTTTGAGACTCCTTCGGGTAGTGATAAAGCGGGATAGCAAATCCAAACTCTTCTTCTTCTTCTTTTCTTCTGCAGGCTCACTTTGTGGCATGATTGCGATAGCAGACACAGTCAAGCCAGAGGCAGCTCTAGCTGTGCACATACTGCAAAATATGGGAGTGGATGTGGTGCTTATTACAGGAGATAACAGGAAAACTGCCAAAGCAATTGCAACTCAGGTATGTTTTCCGGGTCACTTACAGGACATCCTACCTATCTGTTGAACTAGACATCTGTTGAACATTTATCTTGATAATGATGACGATGATTTTGCATGAAGCTTGAAGGGAGGCTGGATATCTGCTATTTTAGTCAGCATTCGTTCTGATTGGTTTGTGAGAAGCTTAGACCATGTTGCACCAAGCAGTTGTTATCCCACACTTTTCTTGTCCCTTTTCTTACTGCAAAAAAAGTCTGCTGGAGGGGCGGAGTAGGTTTGTTGTGCAACAACCCCGACTCAACTTCAATTGCGCAACCCAAATTTGCTGGTACGAGATTGAATCCTACCTGCAAATAGTGACAACCTGGGAACACTGGTGGTCTAAAAGGGGTGTTTTTCTGTGCATTCACAAGAGTGAAACAGACATGGACCTTTGTGCTGAACGAGTTGTGTAATTCGTACTAACAGAAAGCATCTTTCTGCATATAGGTTGGGATCAGAAAAGTCTTTGCTGAGGTTCTCCCATCTCACAAAGTAGCCAAAGTCCAGGAACTCCAAACAGCAGGGAAGAGAGTTGCCATGGTGGGAGATGGAGTCAACGACTCTCCGGCTTTGGCAAGGGCTGATGTTGGCATTGCGATTGGAACAGGCACAGATGTTGCCATCGAAGCCGCAGATGTGGTTCTTATTCGTGTGAGCTGACTTTCCGTAAAAGAGCATGGTGGTTCGGGGAGGTTTCCTGGGACATGTTCAGAAGTTTGGGATTGCGTTTGCTCTTTAGGGGAAAAAATATGTCCCTGATTCTTTTTGGTGCAGAACGACTTAATGGATGTTGTCACAAGTATCCGCCTGTCCAAGAGAACAGTGAAAAGGATACGAATAAATCTCATCCTGGCCTTAATATACAACCTCCTTGGCATACCTATAGCTGCAGGTAAGCTACTGTTATGATGGTTCTCTCTCTCTCTCTCTCTCTCTCTCTCTCTCTCTCTAGTTTTTCAGATTTTAACAATTTACAAGCAATTATCAAACAATCAACATAAAAAGAGAATTCCAAAGAATCTCTTGAACTTCCCTCCTCCCCTTTGTGGTTCATTTTGTCTATTAATCAAAATCTTTTAAATCTCCATTATACCCTACCCCAAATTCAACGTTGAACTACAAGTGTTATTGCAATCCTACTGAAAATTTTAATTAGTCACGATGGTTTTCAGACATCTGGGGTGGTGGAGGGCGAGTAGGAGAGGAAGCTGTTTGGTTGATAGCTTAAAAGTAGCGAAACTGGGATTCTGTAGCCTACTCACGGAAGGTAACATCATCTATCTCATAGTGACTTTATGTCCATAATCTCTTATCAATGGGAAGCAGGACTGTCCGAAAATGGCGGCAGGGGTTGTAGGGAGATAAGTGGAAGCGAGGGAACTTACATCTCCGCAGCTCCCTCTTGTTGCTGTGCAATTTGGGAAGAAATTTGCCCATCTGCATCTTTTGAGACCCTCTGTAACAGCCTCATCCCAACCTTTTTAGCCCTTTCTGCTCTAAGCTGAGTTTTCCTGGAACGTGTCAAGCAGAAGACAGGCAAGTAGTTTGTGTGGAGAGGAGGGAAAGCAGCGCGTCTCCTTTCAAACTGGAACTTAGTTTTGAGAAGGCAGAGAGCTGGCGAGGGGTTCCGTTGAACTGTTAAATTGACTTGGCTTACAATTATTTACAGTTACAGTGGTGCCTCGCAAGACGAAAAGAATCCGTTCTGCGAGTCTCTTCGTCTTGCGGTTTTTTCATCTTGCGAAGCAAGCCCATTAGCGGCTTAGTGGCTTAGCGGATCAGCGGCTTAGTGGCTTAGCGGATCAGCTGTTAAGCGGCTTAGCGGATCAGCTGTTAAGCGGCTTAGCGGGTCAGCTGTTAAGCGGCTTAGCGGATCAGCTGTTAAGCGGCTTAGCGGATCAGCTGATAAGCGGCTTAGTGGATCAGCTGTTAAGCGGCTTAGCGGATCAGCTGATAAGCGGCTTAGCGGATCAGCTGTTAAGCGGCTTAGCGGATCAGCTGATAAGCGGCTTAGCGATCAGCTGATAAGCGGCTTAGCGATCAGCTGTTAAGCAGCTTAGCAGATCAGCTGTTAAGCGGCTTAGCGGCTTGGGAAAAGGGGGGGGGAACCCTGCAGGAACTCACAAGACATTTTCGTCTTGCGAAGCAAGCCCATAGGAAATTCGTTTTGCGAAGCACCTCCAAAACGGAAAACCCTTTCGTCTAGCGGGTTTTCCGTCTTGCGAGGCATTCGTCTTGCGGGGCACCACTGTATATATGTGTGAACAAAGAGGTTCTATGTGAGTGCACGTTGTGGTGATCCCACAGGGTCCCCGGACGTTTCACCGTCTATTGATCCCTGTGCCACCACTTTATTTCTCGCTGCCACCACCCAGGCCCTACCTGGTACAATACTGAATCCAGTCAGTGTTAAATTGGAACATAAACTTCTGTTTATGTTTATTGCAGTTTAACAAGCGTGTGGTTTCATAAGCGGTATTGGTCCATTACAATCATGGGGTGCCTATCCAGACCTATAACTTCCGCTACCTGCTCTCACTCACTAAACCAGCTCTCAGATATTTACTTGTCTTCCTAGCTCCTAACTGTTCCTGACCCAGCTTATTTCGCTACACTAACTCAACCTACCCACAGACTCTATCCCAATTCACTCCCACTCCCACTCCAACCAACCACCCAACTCCCAACGAACTCCTCCCTTCCACCCCTCCCAAAGCTAGTTTTATAGTCCCTCTGACTCCACCCCCCTGGGTTCTGATTGGGTAACCTGTTTAACTATTTCACCTCCAGCACTCTCATATGTTAACGTCACATATGTGTGTTTGTATTAGGAGTATTTCTGCCTCTTGGGATTGTGCTACAACCATGGATGGGATCAGCGGCAATGGCGGCATCTTCTGTGTCTGTGCTGCTCTCTTCCCTGCAGCTAAAGTGGTAGGTCTTCCCATTGATTTCCTCATGGCATTGAGAGCTACAGCCAACTTGTGTGTTCTAAGTGTACCTAAACAGAACTTTGTATGTAGCTTCTCTAAAGGTGAAGAGTTCTAAGCCATTGGTGATGGGTGGGGCTGGCACCAGGTTTGAGGAGGTCCTGAACGAAATGGCGCAAAGCACCCTGCCGAACTCTACAAAATTACCGTATTTTCTGCTCTATAAGACTCACTTTTCCCCTCCTAAAAAGTAAGGGGAAATGTGTGTGCGTCTTATGGAGCGAATGCAGGCTGCGCAGCTATCCCAGAAGCCAGAACAGCAAGAGGGATTGCTGCTTTCACTGCGTAGCGATCCCTCTTGCTGTTCTGGCTTCTGAGTTTCAGAATATCTTTTTCTTGTTTTCCTCCTCCAAAAACTAGGTGCATCTTGTGGTCTGGTGCGCCTTATAGAGCAAAAAATACAGTAGTTTACCAGGGAACAGAGGGGCAGGCAGGAGGGACAGATGGGTTGGGGACAGGCAACAGCACTCATTCCCGTCCTGAGAAGAGCACTGCAGTTGCTGCCATCATTATCTCTCCAGAACATCCCTGGATCCTGGCCTAGCAGACCACTTTGGGCAGAGTTGAGCAGCATTGTAAATCTGTATGGCAGGAACTGCAATCCACCTGGCCAGGCAATTCATCACTGCAAAAACAATACATACTAATGCTTTAGTTTACATTTCTATTGACTATATTGATTATTATACAGCCCCCTGTAAAATAAATTACTGTCCCTTTTTATAGAAGATAATTTTTATTATCAATAACATGGAACAATGCAAACAACGCATAATGAATATCGATCACTGGGTCCAAAGCAAAATAATAGTCGCGGCGTGTATAGAGCAGAAAATAATAGCATGTTAAGCTAAATAACCAAGCCAAAAAGATGCGTGGCCAGGTCCCAAACCCTCCCAGGAAGTGGAATAAAGACACATGAAACAGTATTTTTGGTTAATGGGTGGAAAAGGCCACAACTTTGTTGGTTACAGAATGTGAGTGGTATTAGCTTAGGCATTGTAAACCAAACAGCTACAGTGGTGCCCCGCAAGATGAATGCCTCGCAAGACGGAAAACCTGCTAGACGAAAGGGTTTTCCGTTTTTGAGTTGCTTTGCAAGACGATTTTCCCTATGGGCTTGCTTCGCAAGATGAAAACATCTTGCAAGTCTTGCGATTTTTTTCCCGCTCCCCCCCCCTTTTTCTAAGCCGCTAAAAGCCTTTTAGCAGCTAAGCCGCTAAGCCTTTAATAGCCGCTAAACCGCTAATAGCGCTAATCCGCTAATAGGGTTGCTTCGCAAGACGAAAAAACCGCTAGACGAAGAGAATTGCGGAACGGATTCTTTTCGTCTTGCGAGGCACCACTGTATATCTGACTCCTGCCCTTCCATAGGGAGTCTTGGAAGGGTTAACCACCAGTAGGGGGAGCCCTGCTGATGCACATCAACTAGGGACTCCCCCAGGGTCACCACTAGGGGTCGTGCCATGGCCCTAGCCCCCCCCGGGCTTTGTGGACAGAGACCACGCCCCCGGATTCCTTTAACAGAATACCCTTGAATTAGGAGGGGTAGGTGCTGGCCACTACCTCCCCTCCCTTTTAACCCAATACTCCAATGCCTAACCGCCAAACCTCACAAAGTTGTGACGATTTGCTATGAGTAGGCTAAAAACCAAATGGCCGGTGCCAATTTGCCAAGTGGAAAAATTCCTACCAGGCCCCTTGGACAACCAAGGCGACCAACCGAGGTCCAGCCAGGTCAAGAAATAAAAGAGCCTAACCTAAGGGAGGGAGGGCGGGAGAACTGGCCGAGCAGGGAGAAAAAAGAGGGGCAAGTCCTTAGCCGTGGGCAGTTTAAATAGCCTGCGCAACGCCCCCCGGAGCGTCCAAATTGGACGGCCTAAGGGTGACGCGGCCGAGGAGCATCCAGTGGCGCAGGGAGGGCTTGCTCCCAGCCCGCAACAACATCTCCCCGGGAACGGGAAATGGCTTTGCAGGGTGTTTAGGTTCCTCTGGGTGATAATAAAAATAAAATAATAATAATAAAGGTAAAGGTAAAGGTACCCCTGCCCGTACGGGCCAGTCTTGCCAGACTCTAGGGTTGTGCACTCATCTCACTCTAGAGGCCGGTAGCCAGCGCTGTCCGCAGACACTTCCGGGTCACGTGGCCAGCGTGACAAGCTGCATCTGGCGAGCCAGAGCTGCACACGGAACGCTGTTTACCTTCCCACTGCTAAGCGGTCCCTATTTATCTACTTGCACCCAGGGGTGCTTTCGAACTGCTAGGTTGGCAGGCGCTGGGACCGAGCAGCGGGAGCGCACCCCGCCGTGGGGATTCGAACCACCGACCATGCGATCGGCAAGTCCTAGGCGCTGAGGCTTTAACCCACAGCGCCACCCGCGTCCCATAATAATAATAATAAATAATAATAAAAATAATAAAAGAAATAAAAATAATGCTATTGATTAAAAGTCCCCCCCCATTCATCATGTAAGTTTATCAGCCAAAGTCAAGCACCATATCCTAGCTCACCACTTGCGAGTGGTGCATCAGTCTGCATCCTTCCAGTGCAACCCCAGCGTGATTTATCATATTCTTATGGGGGAGAGCTTTGTTGCAGTCTGTAAATAAAGGAAGCGCAGCTAATCCTGGTTCCACTTCAATATAGATGTCCCTTTATAAAAAAAGGGCATAGCCATTGACAAGCACAACTGCCATTTCTCTGCGCGAGCCTCTGACATTTGGAAGTCTGTGTTTTGTCTTTCCTTAGCTACAAAAAAACCGACATGGAAAGATACGAAGCACAGGCTCAAGGCTGCATGAAGCCACTGACTCCTTCCCAAGTCAGTGTCCACATTGGAATGGATGATAGGAGACGAGACCTTCCCCGACCAGGTGCCCGGGACGATATCAGTCAAGTATCTCTTTGTTCCCTGACATCAGACATACGGCCAAGACCCTTGGGGAATTTCCTTGAGAATGAAGCAGACCAGTGGTCCCTGCTCACGAACCATCAGGATGAAGACCACTACATCTAAGAGTGCCACATTCTCCAGCTGAGCCACAATGTTCGGGAGCAGGGCTACTTTACCTTGTGACTCTTTCACAGGAAGACTTGGGATCCTTCCAGTCTGCTTCCAGAACACCTGCAGTTTGTGCTGAGCATGGAGGAGACTGCCTTGATCGGATCCTGGTGGCTGAATGGCTCTTGGATCTCTCAGTCATGGCATGGCGTAACCAAAGTGTGAACAGAAAGATTTAGGGCGGAACATCCAGGCTTTTTACACACTGTATCTAAGTCCTAAACGTGACACAATAATATTTTACATGGACCAATTTTAGACATGAAAAGTGACCAAAACAGAAACTGGAGGCCGGCTAACTGTGATCAGAAGGTTGATTGCTTCACTTGAGATAACTGACCAGGATGATTGTACATCCATGGTAGGGGATGTATTGCTCCGATCAGCCCCGGCTAGCGTAGACAATGATCAGGGATGATGGCAGATAGAGTCCAGCAACCTGTGGGGTGACCACAGCTTCCCTAGCCTGCTGCACATCTCAGTAGCAGAAAACAGGATTTTGTGAAATGGGGAAGATTGGTGTCTGCAAGAACAAGGGCCCTCACTTAATTTGCAGGTTACGTGTGTGTTATAAACAAAACAGAATTAAATTGATTTTGTTTAATGTGAGCTATAGTTTAATTTCCATTTCAACTGCTTTAACTTGTTACTTAGTCTTACACAAGAGCAAGCGAGTAGGGCAAATGCAAACCCTACTGTCTACTCCCATTGTAATGCGGAATGGATTTTTCCAGTGCACCAGAAGTTGCTGTCACGGCAGTTTTGACTCCATTTATTAGTGTTGAATCCCAAGCTCCACATTTAGCCTGAACCCTACAGAAATAAAAGGTTTGTGTGCTTCAGAGAACAGATCCTGAGCATTCACAACATGAACATTGAAATACAATTGGATACTGTGGTCTCCTAAACTGCTGAACCTTGCCCTCGCTACCGTACTAGAGAAATTTCTAGCCGTTGCTTTTAGAATGAGAGCCATCTCCCATGTGTTGAAAGCAAGCCCGTATTTTAATTTGAACAGTATTTCAAAGTGCTCATAAGGGAGCCGAGAGTACCAAACAGAAAGATAAATGCACTGTAGAGACCAATAAATAAATGCAAATTGGGGGGGGTGGATTCCTTCTTAATTTAATTTGGTTCTTACATCATTATTTGCAAGTCTCCATATCACTGAACTGGATGGATGGCTATTTTTGCAAACTTCAGGCTATTCTGTCCAGTAATCCAAGATGCTGACTCTGTTTTTGCATATGGTAGATTTAAACAATAGGGGTGTTTTTTCAGAATCAAGTGTCTCCGAAACCTTAGAAAGGCATGATTTGGTTAAAGTTTTTAAGGATCTTCACTATAATGAGTTGGTATAACTGTGCTGATGAGAGAGAATTCCTCTCTCTCTCTCTCTAACTCACAGTCAGGATCACTACAGAATTTAGAGCCCTATTCATATTCTTCCCGTCACATGGGACAGGGGAGGAGGAGGCCAGAACTTTGCTTCCTTCCATCCCCTCTGTCCCTTCACAGTCATGCTTCTCATGTTGTGGGGCTGAACACCTACAGCATGGAGGCTCCTTGCACAATTTAGGACCTTGATCGCACAGCATTCTAAACCGTGTGGGGAGCCTCCACAAGTCAAGTATGCTCCCCTTCAGACCATTCAGTCCCATCACATGGAGGGCAATGGTGAAACATGCTGAAGGGGCCAGGGCCAGTGAGCTTGTCCCACGTCATGCAGCAGGGAAAGTGTAACAGGGGACATTGGAATTGCCCTTAGAAGTACAGCAAATACCCAATGAATTCAACATAGAATCATAGAGTTGGAATAGACCACAAGGGCCATCGAGTCCAACCCCCTGCCAAGAAGGAAACCCCATCAGAGCACTCCTGACATATGGTTGTCAAGCCTCTGCTTAAAGACCTCCAAAGAAGGAGACTCCACCACACTCCTTGGCAGCAAATTCCACCGTCGAACAGCTCTTACTGTCAGGAAGTTCTTCCTAATGTTTAGGTGGAATCTTCTTTCTTGTAGTTTGGATCCATTGCTCCGTGTCTGCTTCTCTGGAGCAGCATAAAACAACCTTTCTCACTCCTCTATGTGACATCCTTTTATATATTTGAACATGGCTATCATATCACCCCTTAACCTCCTCTTCTCCAGGCTAAACATATCTCAAGAAATCCTGCATCTCAAGAAATCCCCTGCTGCTCATATTTTATAAGTCAAAATAGCAACCCCCCCCAACACTCCTCTCATCAATACAATTGCTTTGATTTCTAGGGCGTAGTGTGTCTAGAATTGTGAAATTACAATCTAGAATGTGCTGCCCAATTCACAGCCCTACAAAATTCTGTCAGTACCTACCAATTGTTTGAAAAAAGAAAGTTACATTAATATAGTAGGTTGTTTTCAAGGAAGTACCTAAGTGGTCCTACACGGCACTGATCTCCAAACACATCATCCACAGATACCCAGATCAAAATTGGATTGTGGTGTTCAAGCCTTTCCCAAGGCCACAATTTCAAGCTGTCTGGTCAATGAGCCTCAAAATGTTCCTTTTCGCTCACCGTCACATGAGCTTCCAGGATCTCAGAAGAGGGAGTGCCCTCATCACAGTGTGAAATGCTGCAGGTTCCTCCCCAGATAGTGGCTCTGCCTTCTCTTGATGCCCTCCTATCTGGTGTGTTCCCTACACCATTGGACTGGAGAGGCAGTTGGTTCTCCAGAAGCCATGGAGAAGGCACCTGTGAGGGTCTGGACTTTTAATTCAATAGGCCCTGCTGCTACAGCCACCACACCTCTACAGTGGGCTTCTGTTTGTCAGGTTCAGTAGTCCTCTGGACCAGTCAGATGCCTGTTTTGTTTTGAAATGGCTCTAGTGCATAGACCATGGCAAAAAAATGGTTGTGCAGAAGTACTGATTGGTGTGGTGTTGCTTAATAAGAGGCTGGGGACACCAGATCAGGCAATGCTGAAACACTGATGGGGATCATGGTGTGAACTCAGCATGCAACCCTGACAAGCTTGGGCAGATGCAGCCTGGCCTGGGGGCATCCGTGGTAGAAGCCTATGCACCCCTCTTGCTTGGGGTGGGATTCTGGTTCCTGGCACAAATTGTTCCTTCCGAATAAGTGTGTGCTATTTAAAGCTCTCTGCAATGCAGCTGGGATTTTGAAAAAAGAGAGAGAGGCTTTTTGATGGAAACTGGCTTATTAAATACCTACTGTCATACCGTTATAACAGAGAACAGAGACAACTTAATTATAGTGATTATACAATGATACATCTTGTTTGGGGGGGGGATGCCAGCCGCCTGCCTCTACCTGCTCCCTCCTCCACCTGTCTTTTGTAGAGTAGTAAAATTATGGGGGTGGAAGGAGAAGGCTTGCACAACTGAGTGCGCAATTACATGACATCAAGACTGACAGTGTTCCTAGGCCTTTGCTTCAAGGCTGTCGTAAAATCAGAGCAGGAAGGAACTTGAAAGGTCATCAGTCTGCACCAATCAGCTGTTGCAGTCCGGGCTGCAGGATACTGGCATTGGAGAGGATGCACAGAGCTGCATTTGACAAACAGATTTCTCCAGGGTTGGGTCTTTATTTTAAATATTTGCATACCCTGCCAACATTTCTCCAATGAAAATAGGGACATCCTATGCAAACCTTGTTGTGGTTGTTAGCCCACCCATCTAACTGGGTTGCCCCAGCCATTCTGGGCAGATTCCAGCATATACAGTGGTGCCCTGCAAGACGAATGCCTCGCAAGATGAAAAACCCGCTAGACAAAAGGGTTTTCTGTTTTTGAGTTGCTTCGCAAGACGATTTTCCCTATGGGCTTGCTTCGCAAGACGAAAACGTCTTGCAAGCCTTGCGATTTTTTTCCGCTCCCCCCCCCTTTTTCTAAGCCGCTAAGCCGCTAATAGCCTTTTAGCCACTAAGCCGCTAAGCCTTTAATAGCCGCTAAGCCGCTAATAGCCTTTTAGCCGCTAAGCCGCTAAGGCTTTAATAACCGCTAATAGCGCTAAGCCGCTAATAGGGTTGCTTCGCAAGATGAAAAAACCGCTAGACGAAGAGACTCGCGGAACGGATTATTTTCGTCTTGCGAGGCACCACTGCACAAAAATATTAAACATAAAAAAACCTTCCCTATACATCTGCCTTCAGATGTCTTCTAAAGGTTTTGTAGTTACTTGGCTCTGGAGTCGCATAACTCCATACCCTCCAACATCTCTCTGATGAAAATAGGGATGTCCTAAGGAAAAATGAGACATTCTGGGATCAAATCAGGAACTGGGGTGGCTTCTGTAAATTGGGGGCTGTCCCTGCAGAATAGGGATACTTGGAGGGTCTGCAAGACACGCTTGAAGGGTGTATTTCTGAAGAGACCTTTCGTAATTCCTAAGGAAGGGTGTTCCACAACTGCTGGGCTGACCAGTGAGAAGGCCCTATCCTTACTCAAGGGAGTGGGCTTTGGAAAGGCAAAAATGACTAGCTTGCCCTGTTATCATGCCCTATTAGCATGATTCATAGACAATCAGGATATTGATATTTATAATGTGAGTACACAAATGATCTGAAGAACCTGATCAGCACCATGACCAGAGGAACCGGAACAAATATGGTATTGAACTCAACACCACCTTCTTGTCTCAAACAATGGCAGTCTCTGATGTTGCCAGTAGTATTGTGTGTGTGCAGTGGCGTAGCGTGGGGGGTGCCCACGCTACGCCACTGTGAATGTGTGTTTGTGTAATTCAGAAGTTACCTTCCATAAAATTCACCAGACAATGTTAAACTTTTGCAGGAGAATTCTGAAAAAGCTGAAAATATAATTGGAGCAAGCTTTGAATGTGCAGGAACAGTCCTCATAATGACAGTGATTGCTTCTCTGGCCTAGGCTTTTATATGAAAATCTATTCATTTCTTCTTTCTTAAAACCATCCCATGTATTCATAGTTCTTTGTAAGCCACGGTGTGTCTAAACTGCTATTAATTTGGCATGTTGATTTGAGTAATAAGGGGGAAATCAGACCTTTAACTCCTCTTTTTGAGCATTGACATTTACATTATCAGCATTAGTCATCAAGGTTGGGTGCTTGTTCACACTTCTCCCATCTGGGCGGAGGGTGTCGCAGGAGGGTAGAATGGGAAAATCAGGAGTTCAAAGTCTAGCCCCTGCCCAAGTGCTTGACCATTGGCTCAACAATCCAGTCATTCAAACCCCAATGTGCCACATGGAAGAGCGTGAGTGCCGTTTGAAGCCGAGATGTATCATGAAGAAATAGCTGCAGATCATACATCATGCTATAGATGAGAGAACCACAGGTTTCTTTGCCTGTGTGACGAAATCCCCTTGCCCCAATGATCTGGTAGTTTAACACAAGGGTCTAGATTTACCCTGTGAACATTACCATACCTTTAAAATACATTCAAAGCACACTCCCCCCCCCAGCAATTTCGTTCGATTGTCATTTGTTTAAGGCTTGCTTAACTCTGTGAGTTAGGGATGCGGGTGGCGCTGTGGGTTAAACCACAAAGCCTAGGACTTGCCGATCAGAAGGTTGGCAGTTCGAATCCCCACGATGGGGTGAGCTCCCGTTGCTCAGTCCCTGCTCCTGCCAACCTAACAGTTCGAAAGCACGTCAAAGTGCAAGTAGATAAATAGGTACCGCTCCGGCGGGAAGGTAAACGGCGTTTCCATGTGCTGCTCTGGTTCACCAGAAGCAGCTTAGTCATGCTGGCCACATGACCCAGAAGCTACGCTGGCTCCCTCGGCCAATAAAGTGAGATGAGCGCCGCAACCCCAGAGTCGGTCACGATTGGACCTAATGGTCAGGGGTCCCTTTACCTTTAACTCTGTGAGGGGTAAACTTATTTGGCTTATTTGGGGGGGAGTGTGCTTTAAAGGTATCTTGGGTACGCAGCCTTAGTCTTAAAGATCCTGACCTCCTTAAAAGGTAAAGGTAAAGGTACCCCTGCCCGTACGGGCCAGTCTTGACAGACTCTAGGGTTGTGCGCTCATCTCACTCTATAGGCCGGGAGCCAGCGCTGTCCGCAGACACTTCCGGGTCACGTGGCCAGCGTGACATCGCTGCTCTGGCGAGCCAGAGCCGCGCACGGAAACGCCGTTTACCTTCCCGCCAGTAAGCAGTCCCTATTTATCTACTTGCACCCAGGGGTGCTTTCGAACTGCTAGGTTGGCAGGCGCTGGGACCGAGCAACGGGAGCGCACCCTGCCGCGGGGATTCGAACCGCCGACCTTTTGATCGGCAAGCCCTAGGCACTGAGGCTTTTACCCACAGCGCCACCCGCGTCCCTTGCCTGACCTCCTTAGACCCACCTTAAAATCCCAGGGTGGGAAGAGGGGCTGGCTGTTAAACCACTCTGAAAATTGCAGTGAAACAGCCCAGAGGACAAACCTGCTTTCTGACTACCTGCTTTCATAAAAGTTCCAGGACTCCTTTACTGTCCTCTGGTGGCAAGATGAATGCGTGCAGTTGCTTGGCTGTGGAGGGAACCGAACGTGGGTGTGCAGGGAATAAAGGATAAGAGCTTTCATCACAACAACAGCAGGAGCAGAGATGCAGAAGCTCTCAAACAGCCAGTGACCCTCAAAGGGGCTTCAGAACGAAGGAATGAAACACCTCAGCTGCTTCAAAGACCTGGATGCAAAGAGAAGCTTTATCCAGTGTGTCACTTAACGCCACACACTTTTTCTTGAGGAATATTGGCTCCAGTTTTTTTCTTCCCAGATCTCTGCTTGGAATAGTAAGGTGAGTAAGGAATGGCGCCAGGAACCAATTGCACCTAACAGGGTGGGGTTGCCAGCAACTTTAGGAACAGTGTGGCATTATCTGTTGGAGGGGGAAAGTGAGTGTGTGGCTGCTGTTGTCAGTCTTGAATGATGAAAAAAGGGGGGTGAATAGGTTGATGAATAATCCTGGATATCTTGAGGATCAGATTTCGTTGGTGTAAAAGATATGCAAGCTTTTGAGTTGCACAAATCTCTTCATCAGGTGGGATGGAATTGCTCATTTTCCGCCAGCAAGGCTTTTGAAATGGTCTCCGATCACTGATTTTGCCCCTTGAAAGTTGGGCCAGTTGCACCATCTTCACAAGCTCTACCAGGGTTTCCTTTCCCCAGTGAAATCAGTTCAGCTGGCATTGTTCATTATGTTATGCTTACAGCAACTAAGGTCTGTAACAGCTAGAAGCAGAGCCTACATTTTTATCTGTTCCTGGAAAGGTTGCAAAACTTCCTTTCTCAGCAGGCACTGGGCTGATCTAGCTTTGGTGGCTTATTCTGTAAGGTGATTCCTTGCTTTGTGCTGTACAGTGGTACTTTGGTTCTTGGTTCTATTCTGGGAGTCCATTAGACTCCCAAAACCATTCGAAAACCAAGGTGCAGCTTCTGATTAGCTGCAGGAGCTTCCTGCAGTCACGTGGAAGCTACGCTGGACGTTCGGCTTCCAAAAAACGTTTGCAAACCGGAACACTTTTTGTTCGGAAGCCAAGCCGTTTGAGAACCAAGGTACCACTGTATTATTGTTCAGCTTCATCAAAGGTGGCCAGCATGGTGTCACTGGACTACAACTCCCATCATCCCTCACCATTGGCCATGCTGGCTGGAGCTGATGGAAGCTGGAGTCCAAGGACATCTGGATAACATCATATAGACTACCCCTGGTTTTTGACTGATTTTATGGACTGCAGAGCTGAAGTGGGTGCACCCTAGGCCTCACCACCTGCTAAGAGGAAAAGGATCACTGGGACGTTGCTCCCTGTGGCTCCCAAGAAGAACAGCATAGCAAGGGGAACATCAGCCTAGCCCAACACAACAGCCAGAGAAGGACCAGCAGCTGGGAGTTTGCTTCCCTGCTAAAAAGACTCTACTCCAGGTCATGTTGCTTGTTCAGAAGGAAGGGAACTCACTCTTTAATCTGGCCCCATCCTGCAGAGGGCGAGGGGCTGCTGGGATAGCTCAGCTGATAGGAGCATGAGACTCTTAACCTCAGGGTTGTGGGTTTGAGCCCCGCAACGGGCAAAACTTCAGGGGGTTGGACTACACAGCCTTCATGGCCAGTGTGGTGTAGTGGTTAAGAGCAGTGGACTTGTAATCTGGTGAACCGGGTTCACTTCCCCGCTCCTCCACATGCAGCTGCTGGTTGACCTTGGGCCAGTCACACTTCTCTGAAGTCTCTCAGCCCCACTCACCTCACAGAGTGTTTGTTGTGGGGGAGGAAGGGAAAGGAGAATGTTAGCTGCTTTGAGACTCCTTCGGGTAGTGATAAAGAGGGATATCAAATCCAAACTACTACTCCTCCTCCTCTTCTTCTTCTTCTTCTTCTTCTTCTTCTTCTTCTTCTTCTTCTTCTTCTTCTTCATGGTCCCTGCCATCTCTACACTTCTGTTATCAACCATCCCAAACCTGGCACACTCCAGATGCTTTGGTGTGTATGTGCAGCATGTATATATGTATGTTATCGTTGCTTTAAGCCGAAATGGTTGAGAAAGACAGGTGCAAAACTTCAAAATAAGTAAGTAAACAATAAAAAGAATGTATACTTGTTGAGAGTATTTATTTGCCAAAATGAATAATCTAACTATCCTTTCAGCGAGGAAGGTAAATATTGCCCCCTTTTACACACACACACACACACACACACACACACACACACACCAGTTCATGCTATTTAAATTTGTGGAACAGCTGCAATGGCCTGAGCTTCTTTGAAGAGTGGTCAGCATCACAGGCCACCCACAAGGCCCACTCCACAGCAAGGTTCTGTTGCCCAATCCGCAGAGTGCTCTCCCTGCTGCAGCTCATTCCCATAGGCATCTGATCAGCAACAACCTGGGGAACAGGATGATGGACTAGGTACAGCAGGACTCTTCCGATGTTTTTGCTTTGTCACTCCTCCTCCCTGGCTCCCCATATCTGCTGCCTGAGGTGGCTGCCTCACCCTGCCAAATGTTAGGACCGGCCCTGATGTAGCGTCAAGAGTAAATCATGGCGGGCTAGGTGGACAAATAGCCTGATAGTGTATAAGGCAGCTTCCTGTATTCCATGAAGGATCCAGCTGTTGAAACAAGCAGACACTCCTCCATCAGCTTGGAACAAGCTAATGGATGTTTGTTGCCTCGTGCGACAGATCTATAAATAGTGTACATTTTAGAATACTGTATCTCTCTAGATTTTCTCCCCTTTTGCATTTGAGCTGCTGTTAAGATGCTACATCTGTTCCAAAACTTCTTGGGGAAGAATGTGAATTGACTGAAGGGAAGAAAGTATCTTATTTCACCTACAAATGCCAGTTAATTCTCTGGGCCTTCCTGTGACATCTGTGGGAGTTTGTAAGATGATCTCAATGCTGGCAGTGGGTGGGAAGCCAGACTTAACTTTTAAACATGGAAAAACTGGCCTTTTTATTTTGTAAAAAGTTACTGGAGCACGTTTATCTATATGCCAGTCTCCCTAGGCTGGAGTTTAGCTGTAAAGCGAGAATATTATTTTTTACGCATTCCTGACTTGTCTATGTCATCATGACTATACAAATTTCAGAACAATTTTGCCTTAAAAGTGGAAACATCTAGACAACGGTGTGATTCTGCCTCTGCTACTTTTCGTCTGCTGCTCTTTTTCTAAGCATTTGGACGACGCAACAGTGTAAGTTTAGCAACTGTTTCGGTGTTTTCTGCTTCAGTTTTGCATGAGTCTTCTGATGTCAATTGCCTGAGGTTTCAAGCACAATGCATTAAATAGCATTAAAAGCATCAAAACTCATGCCCTAAGCCCTCTGCCTTAGACTTCCTCTTGAGCTCAGTTTTGTTTTGTTTTGCAATGAGCTTCCGGCCCCTGGGTGGCTGAATGTCTCTGACTTGCGAAAGGATGAAGGCTTCTCCCAAAGGCTCGTGGAAGCCCTAACCAAGGAGAGAAAACAAAAAAGTGGCCTTTATAGTGAGACTCTTCTTAGTTGATTTTTGCAATTTGTGGGTGTGTTTTAAGTTAAAATCAAACACATGGTTTCTTGTTTCCCCAAGGTCTGCAGAAGACTGTCATTCGCAATGGTTGCAGGCTTCGAGAAAGCATGCCATCGATGCATCTCCAAAATTGCCAGCAATGGTAGGTTGCCTGAGAAAGGGAGAAAGTGGCAAGAGATCTGGAGCACTACAGGGATTCCGCAAAGGATGCTGATCGCAGGTCAAGCAGGGAGGCTGCGACCAAACAATACCTGTCGCAACTCAGTTTGCATCACTGTCTGATAGCAATGGATGAATCCATCCATTTAGGTTCTCAAAGTTTCCCACTGTTCCAATTTTAAATTCCGTTCTCCACATGGTTACAGTAATTTGCATTAAAAACAATACATATGTAACTCTCAGCATTTTAGAGCAAATTTCTAATATGCCTTTCTTTGTATGCAATTTCCCCAAATAAACACATTTTTGCAAAACAATTCCCCCAAATGTAATGTATTTTTGTATGTTATTTTCCCTAATATATGCATTTTAAGGCACATTTTACCCCAGTATCACATGCCAACCTAGCAGTTTGAAAGCACGTCAAAATGCAAGTAGATAAATAGGTACCGCTCCGGCAGGAAGGTAAATGGCATTTCCGTGTGCTGCTCTGGTTCGCCAGAAGTGGCTTAGTCATCCTGGCCACATGACCCGGAAGCTGTACGCCGGCTTCCTCTGCCAATAAAGAGAGATGAGCGTCGCAACCCCAGAGTCGGCCACAACTGGACCTAATGGTCAGGGGTCCCTTTACTTTTACCCAGTATATGTACCGTATATACCCGGTATATGTGTTTTTTACACATTGCTATTGCAACATTTAGAGTGGTGACAATTTTGAAAAATGGCTGTGTTTCAGTTCCTATATTGTTTTAGAAAGTATGAATTAGATAGGTTTGCCATTAAATGAGAAGAGAATTTAATTGCTCCTTTATTCCTACTGTCTACCTGTGTATGTGACAAAAATGGAGGGCATTTGGAGGATGTTTTATCACTATCTATAACTTGTCACTTATTTCCTTACAGCTTGCTTCATTTTTGGACTCCTTGCTTTCCTAGCATTACCACTGTCTATGGCTTTTACAGGTAAGTACCAGGGGAAGAACATTCCACAAACGGGGAGCCACAGCAGAAAAGGCCCGTTCTCATGTTGCCATCCTCTGGAACTCTCCTGTTATTTTACATGTTGTGCAAAATGTGTCAGGGCTGTAGCACCACTGCAGTTGTGAATCAGTGCACCTGCCCTTTTGCTTCTGCACGTGAGACTTGATCGAAATAATTTACTTTGTTTGTTGTTCCTCAGGAATGAAGTTTTTAGACGACTGTCCAGTCCAGCCGCTAATCCCCTTATATCTGCTTGTGGGTGGTGTGGTTGGCAGTTTGAAGGTACTGCTGTTCACTGAACAATATTTTCCTCTGAGATTTGTGCTGTGGGTAAAAGCCTCAGCGCCTAGGGCTTGCCGATCGAAAGGTCGGCGGTTCGAATCCCCGCAGCGGGGTGCGCTCCCGTTGTTCGGTCCCAGCGCCTGCCAACCTAGCAGTTCGAAAGCACTCCTGGGTGCAAGTAGATAAATAGTTACTGCTTACTAGCGGGAAGGTAAACGGCGTTTCCGTGTGTGGCTCTGGCTCGCCATAGCAGCGATGTCACGCTGGCCACGTGACCCGGAAGTGTCTTCGGACAGCGCTGGCCCCTGGCCTTTCGAGTGAGATGGGCGCACAACCCTAGAGTCTGTCAAGACTGGCCCGTACGGGCAGGGGTACCTTTACCTTTACTTTACCTTTGTATGGAATTATTTTCATTCATAGAAGATACAAAAAAAAATTAACCACCATGGTTATATCTTAGTGAATTAACTTCAAGGAAATAAGGATTTGACTCAGGAGGAGACTTCTGGATTGAGAAAGGATCATACACTGTGTAGCCTTTTAAAAATGTTACTATTTAAACTATTTTATTCAGTACAACTAGTTGTGTGTGTGAATCTTTTAATGTCAGTTTCTCATTTTTTCTCACATTTCCACATCAGTCTGTGATTTTTAAAAAAAGTCCACATGAAAATCCATCAGGATTTTGATGCAAATTTCCTTGCACTACTTCGTATGCAATTTTGCCGAACATTTATTGTAAACCACTTAGAGATGTTGCTACGAAGCAGCAGCATACAGTGGTACCTCGGGTTACATACACTTCGGGTTACATACACTTCAGGTTACAGACTCCGCTAACCCAGAAATAGTACCTCAGGTTAAGAACTTTGCTTCAGGATGAGAACAGAAATTGTGCGGTTAATTTCAGATTAAGAACAGACCTCCAGAACGAATTAAGTTCTTAACCCGAGGTACCACTGTATAAATGTTGTTAAATGAAGACAACTGTTTGATACCAAGGAGCCAAATCTGGAATATAATGATCTCACTGGGATTTTTTTTTAACCTTTGTGCAATGTCTAGGTTGGTCTTCTGCTCTTTGACTCCACCCGGATGAGGCAGCTGCTCACCAAATCGGTTATGATTGACGATGACGATGACGACGAGTATCCCTGGAGACAGAATGCTCACAAATATTACATACACCTCACCCTCAGCCTCTTCCTCTTCCTCTGGTTCATCCTGGGGAACTACTGGGTGTTTTCCGTCTACCGGCCCAATTTCATCCCACCTTTCCACCACCCTCAAGATTACTGTGATAAAATCCTGTACGTTTTTGCAGTTGGGGTGCTTGTCGTGAGCCACACCGTTCTGGCTTTGCTGATCTTCTGCAGCTGCTGTGTTTATTGCTGCTCCAGGCAACGATATGCTACAGAGGAGGACTGAAAAGGGGGTGGAAAGCCATAGAAGATGAGCCATGGGACTATTAGAGAAGCAACAGGGAAGAGAAAGAGGCAATTCTGGTATTTGTTGGTCATGCTCACCCTCCCTGCACACATAGTGCATATGACTAGCAAACTCCATGGAGGTCTTTTTTTACATGATTACTTTTTTCTCCCCTGTGGAAATAAATGGGGATGATAGACAAAGTCTGTATATTTGAAAGGTAGTAAAAAGGGTCTTTTTTGCTCTGGCGCATGCCAGGGAAAGCATCAACTTCCCAGTGCATGCCCTGGAAGTGAGACGCTTGCACTGCCACACCACGCCTTTTTTTTTAATGCTTTCTCAAACGTATTTACTGATTTCAGTGGTAGAAATGATGGAACGTGGGGCGGAGGTGAGAATGAGGGTAGCGTTGGGCACACAAGTAAATCACTATTCTCCCCCGCCCCCATAGAAAATGCAGGTATGATGTAGTTAAATTGGGACAGGAAGTCTGAAAGCTGCTCCAGCTTGTCTGCCTATTGAGTATTCATGTTGATTTGCTTGCACAGACGTTAGACGATGTTTGGTCATTATTGAGTGTTTGTTCCTATTTGTTTGTGGAGAGGATATACGACAATGAGCATTTGCTTGCACAGAGCTTATACAGCTTTCCATTAATGATTTATATCACACTTTTTAGAGCATTTCCACATCATTTTCTTTTTTTCAAGTGGGTTTCTAGCAGCAGAACACTGCACAAACCTGCATTTTGGCTATGTGACTGAATCCCAGTTCTTTTCTTTCAAAGAAAGTGGCAGATTATGTTTTCTTTGGTTTGTACAAAAAGTTTTTTTTGAAGGACTACAGTAATGAACAATTTTTGATCACCTACTCAAAGGTCCCTGGTTTCATCTCTAAACCACTGCAAGAGGTGTGAATTTGCATATTACATGTACATATTACATTTGCTTTGATATTGCATTCTTTGTACTTTCAGAATTTCAGCTTGTTTCCTAGAATGATGCATGTTGCGTATATCTTCTTTGTGGATTGATGTGATGAAACAGCTACTTCTTCATGACAGCTGTAATGTGGCAATAAGGCAGCAGCACTGAGATTGCTTTGTTCCAGAACCTGGTGCATCCAAATCTATGGTACCCAAAAATGGTATGAAATGTGTTCTATTTGGTACTTTTCCTCCATGTAACATCACTAAGCAGTCATCTGTACAGGATTTTTTTTTTAAATTTACAAATAATAGACAGGAGTTTTAAAAACCTAAATGCAGTGATACCTCGGATTACAGACTCTTCAGGTTACAGACTCCACTAACCCAGAAATATTACCTCGGGTTAAGAACTTTGCTTCAGGATGAGAACAGAAATCGTGCTCCGGTGGTGCGGAGGCAACGGGAGGCCCCATTAGCTAAAGTGGTACCTCAGGTTAAGAACAGTTTCAGATTAAGAACGGACCTCCAGAATGAATTAAGTTCTTAACCCGAGGTACCACTGTACTTACAGCTCTTTATCTTTTTTGCCTTCACAACAATCTATGAAGTAGAACGTGATACAGATACTCTTAACACCATAATTGTGGTAACCATGACCCCCGCTCAGTGTTGACAAAGACCAAACGCGAAGCTTAAAAACAGAGATGTGTTATAGCGCTACATGTGTTAATTAAAAGACCTTTTGAGAGTGGAACATGCATTAGCGTGCACTCCACAATTACCATATTTTTTGCTCTATAAGACTCACTTTTTCCCTCCTAAAAAGTAAGGGGAAATGTGTGTGCGTCTTATGGAGCGAATGCAGGCTGCGCACCTATCCCAGAAGCCAGAACAGCAAGAGGGGTTGCTGCTTTCACTGCGCAGCGATCCCTCTTGCTGTTCTGGCTTCTGAGATTCAGAATATTTTTTTTCTTGTTTTCCTCCTCTAAAAACTAGGTGCGTCTTGTGGTCTGGTGCGTCTTATAGAGCGAAAAATACGGTATTTAAATGGTTAGGGGGAAAAGAAAAGTTCTGGATATGGAGGCTGCATCTGAGGCAGCTGGCCACTTGAGCCTCTGCCTTTGCTAGATATTGAGACCAGGAACAATAGAATGCAATAGAAGAAGAGAATCAAACAATTTGTAATCAGGAAGGCCATTATAGATAATTGAGGAATAGTCTTAAAAATGCTTTTTAGAAGTTGTCCATTATCCACATGCCTCCCCATTTGTGTAGTACAATCATTTTTACTTTGAAACAAGAAGAAAATAATTTAAGCCCTCCCATTCCATTTATAGTTCTACTTCTTCAAAATATATAGAGAAACACTAGAACACGTGGAAGGAAATGTTGTGAAGTAGAGATGGATTAAGTTCATATCAAATTCCATACAGTATTTCTTAGACATATCCCTGCTTTAATTTTGTGATTATACAGTTGTGTGTGTGTTTTTTTAAATGTAATGAGTTATATTGCAATTTATTTACAATACGTACATATGAACTACTTCGTGTTTCAGAACGCTAGCCATGGCTTTGTATAATAAAGTGATTCTTGCCAATTTTCATAAAGTGTTATTTTCATATTGAAAAGTTTCCTGCTGTAAAGCTTGTGGCATATGCATAAACAAGCGTAAACATACCTTGAAAATAATTTTTAAGTCTCTTGTTTCCCCCCAAAGTGGGGTTATTTATTTTGATGCTCTAGCAGTCATGTATGGAAAAAATGGCAAAATAAAGGCACTTTTACAGGGAAATCCTGTAGCCTGGACACCAGGTGAAAGCTATGCTAAATGGTCCACCAGTGCAGTAGGGAGAAATAGAATATGTTATGGGTGGGCTCTGGCTCAGAGACCAAATTTGGCCCACCAAAAGTGGCCATTTCACTGTTTTTCACCATGCAGTGTGTTTTGCAAGCCTTGCATTGGGCTTCAAAGTCCCAACAATGAAAGATTTATATTTGCTTGCTTCAGTGCACGGCTAGAGGCAGTTGCATGCACATCAACTAAAACAACATGGAGCTTAATAATAATAATAATAATAATAATAATAATAATAATAATAATAATAATTTTATTTATACCCCACCCATCTGGCTGGGTTTCCCTAGCCACTCTGGGCGGCTCCCAACAGAATACTGAAAACACGATAAAACATCAAGTAGTGGAAGCAAATCCCAGAAAGGTGCTTTGTGTCTCCTTCCCTCTAACATCCCATCCCTGAGCACCAGGGAGTGACCCTGTAAGCATGAGGTCTATTCTCCATCCCACCCCCTCTGGATAAAACTAGGGCCAAAATATCACCTGGACAGGCTTTCCATTTTTAATATCAAGTCATATTTATTATCAATATTTTTGTACTACTCAAAATATGAAAACCCTAAGAAGTTTATACAAAAATGCTAAAATCAAAGTTTTAGATAGCTGTATCACAATGCTACAAAATAGGATTGCTTTTTCCAAACCTCCAGGCTACATCAACTAGGACCACCCGGTTGTCTGCTTAAAAAAAGAAAAGTGTCAACAAAGCAGAAGAAAAAGATATTAGCCTTACAACCAAAATGCAAGCCAAAAATATTCCTCTTGTGAAGATCCAAAAAATCCTAGAATCTCCAAATCTGGAGAACTACAACACAATCTGTTAAAAAGGCAGCAAGAAAAAGTACCCCCCCCCGGGCCTGATTTTACAGTACTCTGCAAGGCTGGAGTGATCTTAGCAGCAGCACCAGTGAGGACAGGCTCATGCGATGGGGAGGCAATCAATTTATGAGTGAGGGTTTCCTCCATTAAACACTGATGTCTACATTTGTCCCATTTGATTTTATTTTTTTTAAAGATTTTTATTGATACAGCAAGAAAAAAGAAAAAAACACAAATACCAAATTACACACATAGACACATAATTTTCTTAGCAAACAATAAAACATATATTGGTCTTAACACTAAAGACCCAACCTCCCGTCTATTCCATATTTCGATTTCATATTACTTATTGCCAATACACACTTTTATCATAATTAAACTTTTTCTTAATATATCTAATTTCTTTTTTTCCCCATTTAATTTTTATTGCTTACTTCAAAAAGAAAAGTAGCCAAAAAACATATATACACACACATAAACACATAAAAATAAGACTACACAATCATACACCTATAGAGAAAGAAAAAATAAAAATAGGAAATATATATACAGAAACTTAATTTTCACATTTACTCCTTGTTGGATTATCGCTTTCAGGACTTCCTTTAGCTTTCCCGACAATCATTCGAAGTGATACTTTAAGTTACACATTTCCTAGTATATATTGTCATTATGCTTTTTTATATATATTTCTTAATATATACTGTTCTTATACCTTATTTGTACTCCCATTAAGTTCAAACAATAACCCATACTCGATTACAGTGCATCTCTAAATCCCTTTAGCGTTATTTTCCTTTGACTGATAAGTTCCAGATAATCTACATATTTACCCCAGTCCTTGGTAAATTTTTGGGCTCTTGTATATCTTACTTTGCCTGTAAGTCTGTCCATTTCCATATAATCTAGTAGTTTAAATCTCCACTCCTCTACCGTTGGTGTTTCCTGTCTTTTCCACATCTGGGCCAGCATTACTCTTGCTGCTGTAACTGCATAGTACACTAATTTACAATCTTCTTTTTTTATCTCATGGCCTAACATGCCTAATAAGAAGAGTTCTGCCTTCTTTGAGAACGTGTATTTTAAGATCTTCTTTAATTCTATATAAATTTTCTCCCAGAACTGCTTCACTTTTCCGCACTCCCACCACATGTGGTGGAAAGAGCCCTCACTAACCCTACATTTCCAGCACTTGTTATCCACCTTGTACATCTTTGATAGTTTCATAGGTGTTAAATACCATCTATAGAACATCTTCAGTACGTTCTCCTTTATCATTGTACATGCCGTAAAATTTAATCCTTCTTTCCAAAGTCTCTCCCAGTCTTCAAATAGTATACTGTGCCCTACGTCTTGTGCCCAGCGAATCATCACACATTTGACCTCCTCATCTCCTAGACTCCAGTCTAACAGTATCCTATACATTTTCGATACAATTTTCTCTTCTTTGTTTATAATCTCCGCCTGAAACTTGGATTCCCTCTCTTCATAACCTCTTTCTTTAAGATCTTTTCTAAACATCTGGTTCACCTGGAGATGGTGTAACCAGTCATAAACATACTCTTTAACCTGCTCGTATGGTCGAACCTTCCATTTACCGTCTTCTTTAATTATTAGCTGATTATATCTTGCCCAGTTACTTCTCATATTTATATTCTTTACACACATTACTTCCAGAGGTGACAGCCAATGTGGCGTTTTTGGTTCTAGCAAATTTTTATATTTTCCCCAGATTTCAATTAATGGTCCTCTAAAAATATGGTTTCCAAATCCCCTGTGAATCCTCCATTTATCCCGCCACAAATAGGCATGCCAGCCAAAGTTATTGTCGTGACCCTCCAAATCCAGTAGCTCCCTATTCTCTAACTTTACCCAATCCTTAACCCAACATAGGCAGACCGCCTCATAGTATAACTTCACATCCGGCAAGGCGAAACCTCCCCTTTCTTTTATATCTGTTAATAATTTAAACTGAGTCCTAGGTTTCTTTCCCTGCCAGATGTATCTCGAGAGCACTCGTTGCCACTCTTTAAAAATTCGACTTCCTTTAATTATAGGGATAGTTTGAAACAAAAACATCAACCTGGGTAGAACGTTCATCTTGATTGTGTTAATCCTCCCCCAAAATGACAGTCTCAACCTTCCCCAGATTTCCAGGTCTTTTTTTATTTCCCTCCACGTCGGTTCATAATTATTTTTGAATAGGTCTATGTTCTTAGGTGTTATCCAAATACCAAGGTATTTCACTTTTTTGACTACCTCTATTTGTGTTTGCTGTTGAATTATTTCCATTAATTTCTGATCCAGGTTTTTGCTTATTATTTTTGTTTTACTCTTATTTAATTTGAACCCTGCCACCTCTCCGAACTCCTCTAGCTCCTTTAATATTTCTCCCGTTGCTGTTATTGGTTCCTCTGTCATTATTACAACATCGTCCGCATATGCTCTAATCTTATATGCATTCTGTCCGACCAACACTCCTTTTATTTTTTGATTCTGCCTTATAGAATTTAATAGGACTTCTAATGTCATTATAAACAGGAGCGGGGAGAGCGGACAGCCCTGTCTCGTTCCTTTTTTTATCTTTATCTCTTCTGTCACTATGTTATTAATGATCAGTTTAGCTTTCTGATCTGTATATATGGCTTTTACTCCGTTAAAGAAATCTTTCCCCACCTCCATATGTTCTAAATTTTTCAGCATAAAGTCCCAGATGACATTGTCAAATGCCTTTTCGGCGTCTACAAACATCAT